AATATCAGTCGGTGTATCGGTTGCAGGGACCGCCTTTTTTGTCGCAGAGCCGGGGCGAGTTGGTTCCGCTGGCCGGGTCTTCGATTCGCCGTCATGGGCCTTAGCAGAGGATCTCAGTCTTATAGCGCCTGCTCGGGCAGGCTTAGACGATTCCACCGGTTTTGTCAGTTCCACTGGAAGTTTCCCCGGACTCTTCGAGGCCATATTACCAGAAAAGGCAAACCCGCACTGAAATGAGGAAGTAAATGGATGCCACGTACAGTAGGAATCCGTAGGCTGAGGAATGAAGAGGAGGATGACAAGAGACGTCAGAGATGCCACGTGAAGAGTAAAGAATATTACGAAGACATATATAAGGATATAAGAAAAGTGTGGTTATGAAGAATGAAGAATAAGATAAAGCGGTGAAGGGGAGGGTGAAAAGATGCCAGTAGAAGAAGAAAGGAAGATGTCAACAAAGACGACAGTTGAAAGGGGGTGAAGAATGATGACGAATCAGAAGGACGTTAATGCAGGAATATGAATATTTATTTAGATGTGAAATTGAACTGAAATGAAGATGTCAATGAAGAAGAGAAAAGGATGTAGAGACGAAGGGGAGGGGATGAAGATGTTATAACTAACGTAATTAAATGAAGCTGTAATGAAGAAGACAAATAAATCCAGTGAAATTGAGAAATGAAGATAACAACAATTAACGAGTCACGACTGAAGCCGCTATGAAGCAATTAAATGAAGGTATAGAGGGGAAGGGGAGGGGCAAAAGATGACACAAGATGACAGAAATGAAGAAATGTCAAAAAAGGGGAAAATTCACTTGGGATATTCCGGCTTTCACAGTTGGTCAGCCCGTAGGCGTCGACCACGTGCTCAATAACGCTTATTATTAATTTATTATAACTTGCGCTCACCTTGACCAATTTTCATATACGATACCTCGTTGGAAAGCTGGTGACGAGACGAATCTTATGAATTCATTCGCTGGCACAAATTCTATCTGCAACCGCTCGAACAAAATGACGTTCACGGAGCACTTGCGGAGACGTCTGCACCAGATGAAAGCTCGATGCCAACTCAAGGGGGGGGACGACCTGTCATGTTCCAGGGCGGTTTACCTTGGGGATGCTCGCGAGATAGCTAAAATGTGTGAAAGGCGCGTATTAATCAACGACCACCGCCCCCTCTGGGTCTTGGGAAACGTGGACGGGGTTTGGCGGTACAACTTGCCGACTCCACAGGATATTTCGATCTACTGCAGAAACTCCACCCACAGAGAAACCAGAGTAGCTACACTTCACGGACAGGGACAGCTGGCGCTACAGGAAGGCTGCGAAGTCACATCAGCGTCTACGCTACTGATGCCATCGAGTACTAGGCGGATGAAAACTACCGACACCATTCGACCAGGAGGGCGTAACAGGACGCTACTGGACCTCATTGCAGCTGGCCAGAAGGAGGTCCTAAATGAGACAACCATCGACGAGGGCGTGTGGACGGCCATGTCTTCCTTCTCCTCTTTGTCAGCTCAATACAATACTCAAGAGGTAACGTTGAATGAGCTCATCAACGAGGTCCAGAGGTTGCGGAATAACAGGTACCGCTGGATTGCCGCGGGATCAACAATGGGAGGGGTCACAGGATTCATCGCCCTCTTGGCAGCCGGGTGGTGGATTTGGAGAAGAGCCTTCCCGACAAAATGCGAAGAGTCCGTGGCACCGTGCCACTCTACGGGTGCCGAGGACGGACCAACCTTCCCATGGCGTGAAAGTTAGTGTTTAAAGTTGGTCGAGTGTAATAACCAACTTTAAATAAGAGGGGGATNGATAAAGCGGTGAAGGGGAGGGTGAAAAGATGCCAGTAGAAGAAGAAAGGAAGATGTCAACAAAGACGACAGTTGAAAGGGGGTGAAGAATGATGACGAATCAGAAGGACGTTAATGCAGGAATATGAATATTTATTTAGATGTGAAATTGAACTGAAATGAAGATGTCAATGAAGAAGAGAAAAGGATGTAGAGACGAAGGGGAGGGGATGAAGATGTTATAACTAACGTAATTAAATGAAGCTGTAATGAAGAAGTTGACAAATAAATCCAGTGAAATTGAGAAATGAAGATGACAACAATTAACGAGTCACGACTGAAGCCGCTATGAAGCAATTAAATGAAGGTATAGAGGGGAAGGGGAGGGGCACAAGATGACAGAAATGAAGAAATGTCAAAAAAGGGGAAAATTCACTTGGGATATTCCGGCTTTCACAGTTGGTCAGCCCGTAGGCGTCGACCACGTGCTCAATAACGCTTATTATTAATTTATAATAACTTGCGCTCACCTTGACCAATTTTCATATACGATACCTCGTTGGAAAGCTGGTGACGAGACGAATCTTATGAATTCATTCGCTGGCACAAATTCTATCTGCAACCGCTCGAACAAAATGACGTTCACGGAGCACTTGCGGAGACGTCTGCACCAGATGAAAGCTCGATGCCAACTAATCGTTGGTGGGTCACCATAGTCTGTCACGCTTTTCACTTTTGCCATTGCTCTGATGTGCGCTTCGCACCTTCTAGAGCCTGCCCGATGATCGTACGCGTTCCCTACGGGTTGGCAGTTTGCGCACTTCTCAATTTTTGAGTTACATTCTCTCGTGTCGTGAGTCTGTGCGCGACAGCCACAGATTGGCTCTTGCTTTGGGCAGTACGGGGCCTTATGACCATAGCCCTGGCACCTATAGCACCTGGTTATGTCCATGTATTCTCGGACAGCACATGACTGGTAATCCAGGTGGGTCTTATCTTCTATACATCAGACTCAAAGGTGTTGTTTGCCATGATATCTTCTCTTAGTTGACTAGCAATGATGTCTTTCAGGACTCGAAAGTTTAGAATCCGAGGGTTTATTTTACCCATATGTCGTGGTTTCAGTTCGCACTTTGCAAGAGCGTTCAGCACCGCTGCTTTGACTGCGTTATTCTCAACTTTAATTGCCACTCCACCTTTGGTTGTTACCCGTATTCCTTCTAAGCGGATTTGGGTATGCCTAGGATTTAGTTGATCTTTGACTTTTTATTAGTCCGGGTGTTCCATTCCTTCTGGTAGATCATCTATGATAATTAATTTTTCCCGTTCTTTTTCAGCTCTCAGGATTTCATCAGACGTAATGGTTATAGCAGCGTGCAAAGGTGTTTTGGTGGTCTGCTGGCTTGAAGTAGCTTTAACCGAAGGCAAATTTTTCTTGCTCGATTTATTTTTGACTACAGCATTCAGGCAAGTGGATTGGCATGGTTAGTGTTATTCTTCTGTGCCGTGGTAGGTTGAACTTGCTGCCTGTTGCAGTTGCGTAGTTCGGCTATGCTTTGTTGCAAAGCCGTAATTACATTTGCTCAGGTAAAGCTGCAGTCACCGATTGTTCTGTATTCTCATGAAGGCTCGTTGTCTTTGTTTGCTCAATCCGCCCCCATAGGAAGGCATTTTCTTGGCAATTTTTTGAGTGATTGTATTCAATTTATCAGCTAATTCTATAATGACACAAGCTGCCTCTTTAGGCATTTGTTGGTAGGCTGTATGTATAGCGCAATTTTATCTCTAATGTCTGTCACCAGCCTCCGTCAGTGCGTCAGCGTAAGTGTGATGACAGTAATATCGAGGAGAGGGGTGTCTGATAGATGTCAGTAGATCGCAGTTGAAATGAGGAAGGATATTCAATGTGGTGAAGAGAAGGGAAAGGATGGATGACAGATGACAATGAAAAAAAATGATGAGACAAATGAGATGGTAGAGAAGAGCGAAGAAAGATACCAAGATATAAAAGTTAAAGATTAGAAAGGTGAATAATACAAGAGGGGCAAATGATGTCAGATGACAAAGATGAAGAAGGAAGAAAAATGAAGGTGGTGGGAAGAGAGATGCCAAAAGGGATAAAGATGAAGAATGAAAGAAATCCACAGATGAGAAGACAAAGGAGTGGAAGGGGAGGGGCAAATGATGTTGAAGATGAAGGATTGTAATTTTGCAGTGAGAAATAGTTTAACAGAGGTTGGCGCACAGTAAGCGTCAGCCACGTGCTCTAAAACAGAGACGCAAAATCCCTGCTGAGGGTCCCTTCATCCCTGCTCTTGCTACTACAGGAGCTTCCATCTATACTTCTTGCTCCTGGTACTCCAAGAGGTGTCATTCCAACTTCCTGCTAATGCAGGAGTTTCCATCTCAACTTCTTACTCTCCTTCTACTTATACAATTCCTACTTCTTACTCCTACTACTACACGAGCTACCATTGTTACTCCTGCTACTACAGGAGCTACTTCTAAGTACGTGGATGTCTTTCTGTCGCATCGAACTCTGAACGCTATATACTTGATACGTCCCCGGGAAGTCGAACGGTCCCGGGTTGCGGTTGACTCGACCACACCGGGCAGAAAGGCGACTAGCAACAAGTTCAAGCCCCTTAACCGGATGCAACGACTATTTTTTTTTTTTTAATTGATAATCCTTGAGCGGAATGTTGTAGAAAGCAACCCGAACACGGTTGATTACCAGTTTCGCCTTTAAAAAGGCACTCCTGGAAGATGCTTTAGCGCCAGACATCGATGTTTTTTAGTGCTAGTAGTAAAACCGGACTGGTAGCTGCTATAGTAACCAGGAGTATGATCATGGAAGATGCTTAAGCACCAGGCAAATCACGGCAGTCCTCGAATAGTAAGATGTTGGGATGGTAGCGACTGTAATACCAGGAGTAAGATGGGGATGGTAGCTCTAGTAAGAGGACGACATGAAGGAAATGAAGCTACTATACCTATCAGGAGAAGTCAGTCTTAGATGGTACAGTGTCAGGAGAAAAAAATACAAACAGCATGTCTCCTTTAACATCAGGATTAAGAAGTCTTAGTATTATCACTCGTAAGAAAGCTATGTTAGTTCTATCCGAGAAGTAAAGGTACATATCTTGGATTTAGATTTAGTTCAGACAAGCTTGTGTCTGAAAATTATTGTACGTGCATATAATAAGTTCTCATTGGTAATTGTATTTTTTATGTAGTGAATCATAATTGTTTATCCAAAGGAGCTACAGTAGTTCTTAACTTAAACGGGCCATAGTTCATCTGAGGTACTGGTATTCTGTAGAGGTCCAGCTTCCACCAGAAGCGCATTCTCGTCGCGATACTTTCGTCGAAACTCGCGAACTCGTCTGGATTTCTGATGGCGGATGTTATGCTGAACAGTTCTTTGTCCTCGGAGTACGGCTTCAGTTGGGCGTCACTATTAAAAAGATAAATAAGAGTAAGGGAGGCGTCACTATTAAAAAGCCTTTGGATATTTTGTTTTGACTCTTACCCATCCTTGACGAAGCGTGCAATCATGTCTACGTATTTGTTCGCGATTCGATTGTCTTTTTCCGCGATGGGGCAGCCTTCCATCTCGAAGAGGTAGGGCAGGTCGTCTCCGTGTACGACGCCCGACGACGGCCTTGGCGCAGCGCAGCCGAACACTCCCAGCTTGCTGTGGAAGTTGAACATGAATGCCTGGACCGGTCCTGTGTGGTTCTCCGCTTCCATCATGGCCGGGTAGAAAAAGTAACCGTCTGTCGTGAGAGGAAACACCCTGTCTTCCTTATATCCCAGATTGTCATACATTTCCTTTATCCTTTGGACGACCTTTTTCATAAACCTCAATTTCACCGGGTGGTACAGCTTGAAGAAAGTATCGACTAGGATGTCCTTCTGCTCTTGAGTCCATCCCCTTTCGTCCGCGACTGTATAAAGGAAAATTTCTGTTTTTCTTGTATAAATGTAATTGTTTTCACAATCTTACACGTCTTGATCAGATGCCCTTCGTGTTTGTTCAATCCGAGTAGCAGGGAAAAGTTCCTGTGGTTTTGGTCGTCCAGCCAAGGGTTCGTTTTGATGTAATCTTCGTCCAAAACCGGTCTATAAGGCCATGTTATAGTTTCCCAAAGATATTCCGTCTGAAATTATTCATCTCTTTACCGGATTTGATTAGATAAAACAAGCTCTTGTAGTTATTAGACCAAGAAGTAATGGTATCAGGATGAGGATTTAGGTGAAACGAGCTAGTGTACTACAAATAAGAAAAAGTATCGGGATAGGGATTCATTGCTGGATTGATGTTTGTATCAGGAGTAGGTTTTGGTTACAACGAGCTCCTGTCGCTGTTAAAGGAAGAAAAGTGTCAGGATTAGAATTTTGGTGAAACAGAGAGCTCCTCAACCGGCCAGTTAAGAAAATGATCAGGATTAGAATTTGGGTGAAACGAGCTCCTGTAGCGGCCAGCTAAGAAAAGTATCAGGATTTGGATTTGTATGCAACGACTCCTGGAGCGGCCAGTTAAGAAAATGATCAGGATTAGAATTTGTGTGAAACGAGCTCTCGAGCGCCCAGCTAAGAAAAGTATTAGGATTTGGATGGAACGAGCTCCTGTAGGGGGCAGATAAGGAAAGGATCAGGATTAGGGTGAAACGAGCTCTTGTAGCGGCCAAGAAAAGTATCAGGATTCGGTTGGAACGAGCTCTTGTAGCGGCCAGCTAAAAAAAAGGATTAGGATTTGGGTAAAACGGGCTCTTGCTCCTACTTAACTGACGAAACTATCAGTTTTAAGGTTTGGCTGAAACGATCTTGTGGCTATATAAGAAGTATCAGTATTAGGTTTATTATCATAACTATAGCATCTTCTTGAATAATGAAAGTGACATGGGATTCAAACTTTTCTTTACCCCAGAAACTTAATCTTACCTCGTAACGCATTAGAATGTTAGAATTGTTGACTAAAGTCCTGTAGTTTGTGCCTGAGATGCATGTCGACGACGTATGCTGGCAGCGCAACATTCTTGTCATTTGATAACTTTTTCTCGCCGTCCATTTCTGGTAGGACAAAGCCCAAGGCGCGTATCTCGTGCCGCTGATCGCTATGCATCTTTTGACTACCCTGTGTCCTGTGAAAAACCTTTAAAATGACGGACCTTCCTCACAATGTATAAGTACCTGGAAAGTAGCCTCGTTTCATGTGGAATAGGGCGTGCGCGGCTCCTAAGCCGTGACCCCCGAGTGTTATCCTATCGGGATCGCCTCCGAAATGATGGATGTATCTCATGATCCAATTTATAGCCATCCTCTGGTCGTTGAGACCGTAGTTCCCGGGAAACGATTTCAATTCGAAACTGGCGAAACCTTTATAAACAGGAAAACATGAAAAGAAGCGCTGTACAGTTAAACTGGACCAGTACCTAGGATGTCGTGCCTGTAGCTCATGGTCACGACGACCATTTCGTGATCCATGAACCTTTTCGGGTTGTAAATGCTGCCCTGGCTCGAACCAATTGGAAAAGCCGTCCCGTGTATCCAGATCAAAACAGGCATCCTTCTATTCTCCTAAAAAAACGAAAACGTTATTAACCGTCTCCTGGCCTGCCTTATTTCCTCCCTACTCACGAAAGGCATGGGCGTGTAGACGTTTAGAAACTGGCAGTCCTCCTGACCGACGAATTGGCCGTTCGCCGGGTTCAGCTGGAGACAGTCGACACTCCGGTTCAGGTTTTTTTCCTTTTCGACCGGTATAGGAAAGAAGAAGGTCCTTTGGAAACCGTCGTGCCCCATCCTAGGTTGATCGTAGCGGATGCCCTCGAATGCTGCGTACGTGACTCCGTTCGCAGTTTCCAACTTTTTCATGTAAAGGTGGTCGATCGAGCTCTTGGCCCAAGTCGGCCATACAATCGTTATCATACAGACGATTGTTTTTACAAAAGCCCTCATGATCTTATCCAATATTAAGGACTTTTCCGCTCCCGACCGACGACTTTAAGGTTTTATCGAGCTGATTAATCTGCGTAAACGAAACTGATCCGGCGTGAAATTAAAAATTAAAAACGCAAACAAGTCACAACCACTAATTTAAAACAATAGAAATTTATTTAAAAAAATCAACTACAGATTTGGGATTTGAGAAAACGAGCTCCTGCAGCTTCCCAAAAGGAACCTGGATTTTGGTGGAACGAGCTCTTGTAACTGCCCAACAAGTAAGAACCAGGATTAGCATTTACGAGCACCTATAGCTGGCAAGAACGAGAAAGTTTAGGATTTTAGGAGCTCCTGTTATTGTTGGGGTTTACAAGTATCAAAAATAAGACTTTTCGCAAAGGAGCTGTTGTTATTGTTGGTTGTTAAAAGTATCAGGAGTAAGAATTTACGCAAAGGAGCTCCTGGAATTATTGGAGGAGATTTAAGGTGGCCATTCACGATCGCTCCTAGCTGTCCAAACGGAGCGACGCCGTTCCAAAAAACACGTCAATGGCAAAACCCGGCTGTGCCGAATATTCGACCGGTCCAAACTCCATCGCGCCACTCCAAATATCTACGGCGGGACGAACGGCATGGCGCGTTCGTGAATGGGAAAACGCGCGTTTTTTGCGCAGTCTCCGCCTTTCTGTCTCTGAGCAAACATCTCCGTCCTACATTCTCAAAAAGTGAAAAAAGTTTCTTCTTTATTGACAATGAGATCCAATCGAGATTTTATTGTTGAGGTGATTAAATTGCATGAAAATTTACTATGTTTATGGAAAGTGGTGGACAATGATTACCACCATAGAAATTTAAAAAATTCGGTCCTCAACCAGTTGGTCGACCTTTTCAAAACAAAGGGTACAAATACGGTATTGATAACTCCTAAGCGCTGAGCAGAAATCGAGTAGAGAACTTAAAGGTCTTCGTAGTTCATCCCTGTAGCGAGAAATCGTAATGTGGCTGCCAACCTTTCATGTATTGTGATTTCTCTCTTGACTGTCTTTTGGTTTCTAATCAATGGAGCAACAATCTGTAGAGTAAATATTTATAAGACGTTAATCTTTTTTTTTTCTCAGTCACGATAGCTCAAGTGGTAGAGCAGCGGCGTATTTATCCTAAGGTTATGGATTCAAATCCCGCTCGTGGCACTAGCTTTTTCATTGCAACCAAAACCTTACAAAAAACTGTTTGTTGTGTGATCAACCAGCCTTCATACGATGTTGATTGGGATTCGGGTTGTGGTCTTCAAACATACAATGTTATTATATCAACGCCCAAGCTTTCGACAAGTTTTATTGCCTTCTTCAGGGGATCTACAGAGACATAGGAACATAATCATTTAGATAGTTATAAATTATATAAATAGTTATAAAATATCAGTTTTTTGTTACTTACAGATACAAAGTCAAAACTTAAACACATTGCACATTACACGATATGTATACATACAAACTATAAACATATATAATAAATAAATAAATAAAAACCTCTTCTTAACAGGCTCTTACATATATAGGCATTTTTTTTAAACCAGTAACAATTACGTATCAATTAATATTCTTTTGGTACATAAATATCACAGGCGTTTGACTAGAAAATTGTGTTTATCACGTTATCAGGTGGGAGGTTCCCCACACTATCACCTACTGATAACAATCATTTCCCACAATTTTTAAAAACAAGATCTTAATTTCTAATACATTGGTAATTCTATGTTATCACAGCCTGTTATAATATATAAATAAATAAATAGGTACGCTAATGTTACAATCTTTTGAGAGACCTTATCTTTTTCTAGAATCCCACTGTATATCACACTTAAATTATTCAAATCTGTTTTTAAATTACAAGCCATGTTATCCTGCTGAATAGATATCATTTCCCTCAAAAGTCTACGACCTGTATTTTGTTCTGAAGCCACAATTTTGACTACATCGAAGTCAAAATTATGTTTCGTAGCGTGTGTATGTTTGTTCCCGGCCTTTCTTCATCACTGCAATCATACTTATGTTGCCGCACACGTTCGGATAAATATTGTTTCGTTTGGCCGTAATACACTATGTCTCTGTAGATCCCCTGAAGAAGGCAATAAAACTTGTCGAAAGCTTGGGCGTTGATATAATAACATTGTATGTTTGAAGACCACAACCCGAATCCCAATCAACATCTTACAAAAAAAGATTAATTAATTGAAAGAAGTAATTTGGTCAATAGAACACTAAATATAATGAATATGTAAGCGGACGACGGGGCTGCGGCCGAATAATCTCTCGATATTCGCTTGCTTTTCTATAAACAAGAGATTATTAGTCGGCGTAAGCGCGTCGCTACTTATTCTGGTGTTGGGGAAGGTAAGGTTCTAGAATTCAATAAACCAGAGACAGTATTCAGTAGCATTTATTGTACACACGTCCTTCTCTTAACAGTACCCTAATTGCTAATTAATCTACAAGTCCACAACTCTAAATCTGGGATGAGTCTATCAACAAAGGGACTTACCCCAAACGATGCTCGCCACGATCAGTGTCCACAGCATCTCTTCTCTCGACCTCTGACTTGGCTCGATTGGTCGCAACGGCTGGTCCTCGCTGGCTCTGGCTGGCTGAGTCCTCTTGTTGAATCCTAGACGGAGTGTGGCTACTTCTCTCCCGGTCCTTGGTCTTGACTGCCTGGGATGAGTCTCGCATCTTGACTCACTGGGGTGAGTCTTGGATCTTGACTGCCTGGGATGAGTCTCTGATGTGGACTGGCTGGGGGGGGGGGCGAGTCTCGGATCTTGACTCACTGGGGTGAGTCTTGCATCTTCACTGACTTTTGATTTTCCAGTCATCCCTTTTATACCGGGTCTCTCCCGGAGTAGGGATGGAAAGGAATTTCAAAAGTCGGGGGAGTTCTCACGCCGCGGCGGGGCCGGCAAAGACGGCTGTCTAGCACAGGGTTGACGTATTCCCAATTTACGATGTCCCCCGTTCTTACCTGTCTACCTGGGTAACCATTTCCAAGCTACATTTGCCAGATGTGTCACGCGTTCCCGTCTGGGCGGTTGCCCCTTCAAAGCGCAACCCCTGTCCCTTTTCTCGTTTACCTATTTTGTTCTTATTTTACAATTTAACTTATCGCTAAGACGGGGGCCGGCTTACAAATAAATAAGACGTTTCATCCATCCTTAAATTGTTCCTCCAATCAGCGGGTTCAAGAGAAAGATCTTTCATCAAATTGATGTGGGTATTACGGCTTCTGTTCAGGAGCCACTTCTTACACAATTTTCTCTTCGGTTTTTTGCTTTTAATATATAAACAAACAGCAGCGTAGCACAAGAGATCATCCATTTTGAGAAGGTAATTCACTAGATGAGGTTCGGAGCGACTGGCTGTGGTCGTAAATGCCCCCTCAAATTTCAGACACTCCAAATGGAGCTATACGGCTCGGTTCCATTTGGAGCGATCGTGATTGGCCAAATCAGAAGTAAGACTTCGCAAAGGAGGTCCTGTTATTGGAGAGTATATTTTTATTAGCTTTTTTCTGGTCCTCCGGGCCTGATTTTGGTCGTTAATATTCCCAAAATATAGTAAGAAGGCTAGGCCATTTTATAATTAGCAATTATCTACTTTCAAACCTCAAAAGTTAAATTGGAGAATTCAAAATGATGGCAAATAAACAAAGAAGACTTTATAAAAAAAAAATAAAGTTCATTAACAGGCCTGATTTTTTATAACAATTAATTTAATAAATTATTTTAGCCTTGGTCCTCCGGGCCGGATTTTTATTTAAAATCTGGCAAATAAACGAAGAAACCTTGTCTTTTTCTTTGTTAATCAATCATCGTCCAATCAATAAAGTACATCAATAGACCTGCTAGATAGATAGATAAATTATTGTAATAAACAATTTTTTCTTGGTCCTCCGGGTCGGATTTTGGTTTAAAATGTTCCCAAACCTACGAAGAACTTAGTCCAGGTCTCTATTAATAATTATCTAACTTTTAAAAACCCATAAGTTAATTAATAGAATTCAATTTATATTTTTATAAAAAGGCTTTTTTCTGGTCCTCCGGGCCAGATTTTGGTCGTTAATATTCCCAAAATATACTAAGAAGGCTAGGCATTAACAATTAGCTACGTTCAAACCTCAAAAGTTAATTATTAGGCTTCATTTTTTTAATAACAAAAAGACGTTTTTTCTGGTCTTCCGGGCCAGTTTTACAAGTATCAGGAGCAAGAATTTACGCAAAGGAGCTCCTGTTATTGAAGGAGTTAATTGAAAATACATTTGCCTCCTTCACCGTCCCTAATCCGTCTAATTATTCTTTTTAAACGGATTATCACGGTAACGTCAATTTCGACGGTTGATAGTCTCAGAGCGTATGTGAGATGCCTCGTGGAAACTTTCGTCTGTGGATTGCCTTTGCGATCATTTTCGGTTGTTGTTTCCAGTATCCATACAGATTATTTTTTATTTGTATTTTTTTGTTAGTGTTTTTTTTCTTTCCAGTGAGGACGTATGGGAAAATCGATGATCTTCCAACTGGGACCGATTCGGTTCAGAACTTGGAAAAGATTCAGGTTGAAATCGATCGTGACTTGTTTTTCTTTATATACATGTGTCGTCTTTTCTGTATAGAACATTACAAAAGCCGGACTAAATATTCTGTTGGATAAACGCAAAGAGACCATCGTCCTCATCCGTGACTGCGCCGTCCAACTGAGCGACTGGTCGGCCAACCAGACCTACATCGCGATCGTCAAAGACTTGAACCGGTTCAAGGAGGAATTGAGACAATTGGTAAAATAAAACGTGAAACGTATAAAAGAAAGAATCATTGTGATTCCTCCCTCTGATAGAATTCTGTGGAACCGAGCAGGGTGCTCGATGAGTTCGACTCGAACCTCTGGTTCAAGCCAGAGTCAAGGAATTTGTACAACGCCATCGGACAGTACGTTCTCATCGTTGACTTTTTCAAAGACGCGCTCCAACGTTATACCGAGAGCGATGAAGAACTGGGAACGGTCATGTGGGCCAAGGTGAAAAAATTCGTGACCAGACCGTTCAACTTTCTAGGTAGGAAGAGGCTTTGGATATGGAAGGTTCTCAAATGTTAAGGTTGGCTTGAGATGGTTAAGAATGTTTTGTGTCAGTCAAGAGAATTTCGTAGTGAAAGGTTAAGTGGATCTGTTTAATGAAGGGTCGAAGTTGTTAAGGGTAAGTATTGTATGTATTGTAATGTAGAAGGGTTAATGGTAGTTGAAGATGCTGAAGAGTATTTCCAAGTTATCTGTGGGTGGAGATCATGAAGCGTTGGTGGTGATGGTAAAGGCTCAGACGGTGGCTGGGTGTTGACGGTGAATGGTGGATGATAATAGTGTAGGGTGAGTGGTAATAGTAAAAGTGGTGATAGACTATTTCATGAAGGGGTAGGTGGAGAATGTTAAGGGAAGGTTGAAATGGTTAAGGGTGGGCGGTGATAGTCTAGTGTGCTAAAAGTCTGTTAAGTAATATATGGTTTTGTGTGGTTGTTGGTTAAGAGTATTACCAGTCTATATCAGAATGTTAAAATTAAGTGGAGAAGGTTAAAGTGGTCGAGATGGTAGATGGAATTGTTATTGACAGTCTTACCATCTCAAGGTTAATAGTTAGGTTGGATGTTAATGGAGGTTGAAGATATGAATGGTGAATTAATTAATTTAACAGGGACTATGTCTGACGACTTGGAAGCCGAGCTGAGCCGGTATTCAGTGAGGAATTATTCAATCACCGGCCATCCTATCGAGCAGGACATGGCCAGCTGCAGGAACGAAATCTCCTTTTACCACTTCTGCGCCTCGAAAATGGACGACGAAGGGCAGCGTGACATCATCGACGTCCTGTTCTACAAGATGTACCGTTTGAGAAGAGACCTCAACTTAACGGTAGACGTGTTGTGGCCGTTTTGACCATTTTTTTACTTGTTTGCCGTTTTGCAGTACGACCAGAAAAACAAGAAGCTGGCCCGACACATCAACAACGAATTCTGGTTATCGCAACCATCGCTTATCAACGTCGACAATGCGTTCAGGAAGTACCATCTGCTGTACAACTTCTTCGACAATCACCTTCTCTACCCAGATGACGACAGCGACCTAAAGACGCCGTACTGGAAGAGGATAATCAGGTTTTTGAAAGAACCTTCTCATTTTTCATGTAAGCTCTTTTCAAGTTATATCAAACGCTTAGTGGTTGATCGTTTATGTTTAACCAGCCGTCGTCACCGGTTTCGAGGTCGACCCTTGCAAATACGGCAACGTGAGTACACTAAGGTTAACATGAATCAGTTAAATAAAAATTATTCTTGTTAAACCCAAGGCGCTGGAATGTCTCAAAAGCCAGATACAGAAGAGGAGGAAGCTGGCCGGTGCTTACTACTCGTGCGCACTCCAGTTCGACAGGAAAAAGCAATTAGGCATCATAAAAAGGATCGGAGATTTTATGATACGGCTGATGAATGACATGGACAAGATTGTACTCCTGGTGCTTAAGGATGTAGCAATATTAAAAATAATTTTCACCTTTTGTATAGTATCTGACTGAGAACGAGCGGAACAGGGCGCTCCACAAGTCTCTTGACGATCATTTTTCACCCGGGCAGCCGACCGAGGTGATCGTGTCGTTCAAAAAGTACGAGTACCTTCTTGACTTCTTCGAACTCATGATTATCGACGATTTCACGATTTTAGAGGCCCCCTATTGGAAGAGGGTCAGAGATTTCGTCAACGACCCGTTTGTATTTCCAGGTATACATCTAACAAGTGATTTGGATCGGCTAAAACGCGTTCATGATGATCTAGAGTGGTTAAAGATTTTTAAGCTTGGTTGGAGGTGGTTAAAAGTATTTGGGTAAAGCTGACAGATTTGTGATGGTTAGGGTAACAAGGAAAAAATAAGGGTGGAAACAAACCAGGTGAAGGAAAGATGGAGGGGGTAAAATCTGTCCCCTCATACCAGACCCCATGGTAGGGGTGTCTGGGTGAACGGGGAGTGGTGGTAAAACCTGTCTACCCCAAGTGGTAACACGTCTACTGATACATCTCGAGGGTTCTTAAGTGCTGAGAATAAAAGAAAGCTTAGTGATTATGGGGTTGTTGAAGATGGTTAAGAATAGTTGGATATGGTTTTCGTGGTTCTTGATAAAGGGCCAGTAATGCTTGTTAAAGCTAGTAGTAGATGGCGATGGGTGTCAAGTGTTGGGAGATGGTGTAGAGTGAACAATCGAAATCATTCATGCTAGTTAATCGTGATTAATGGTTGCTGGAGGTTAATCCGGCGGAAGGTTCTCGTTGAAGATATGGATTGACAAAGTTGGTTTCCAGGTTGAGTAGATGATTGTGGTTCAAAATGTTTAAATGTTTAACATGGGGCTTGAGATGGATAAAGGTTGATGGTTTGTATTAGATCTTGCGCAATGGATTATTGTGACTAGAGAAGATTTTTTTCAGTTGATCTGCTAAGGTTAAGGTTGGGTGGAGAAGCAAGGCTCGGGGTGGTCAAGTTTTGTAGGTGTTCGGTAATGGTCCAATTCATGGTAGTTCAAGAGTAGGTTAAGGTTGTTTGTAATGTTCAAAGTCATAGTTTCTTAGGTTGGTTTGTATGATTTATTTTTGTTAAGGGCGGTGCAAGCTCTATCAGTGGCTTCAGATATCTTAGGGTCCGTTGGTAATTAATAACCATCGTTACGAGACAAGATTGAAGGTGGTAAATTATTTTGTGTGATGCGTTGAGGATAATAAACCTCAGTAGATAAAATGTATATGTTCTACCGCAGGAGGAGGTGGTGGTGGAGGTGGAGGTGTTGTCAGATCCCATGGGCCCTTGTGTTCCTTGGGAGAGGTGTTAGTGGTGGAGGTGTTGCCAGACTCCGTGAGCCCTTGTGCATTCCATGAGGTGTGTGTGTTGGTGGGGAGAGGTGGAGGTGGAGGAACCCCTCCCACACACACCTCATGGAATGCACATAGGGCTCACGGAGTCTGGCAACACCTCCACCTCCCTCCACCACTAACACTTCTCTCAAGGAACACACAGGGCCCATGGGATCTGACAAAACCTCTTCCTGCAGTCGAACATATACATTTTATCTACTAACCTCCGATGTAGTCCTGGGGAGAAATGAAAACACGATTGGAGCTTGTTATTTTCTACGGTGTGGTTAACCTCATATTTCGCAAATAGGGAACGATCCAGAGATAATAATAGATAATTTGATGGGTTAGAAGGGTGGATGGAGTTGAAGATGATAAACAGTGCTTCCAGGTTGTAGATCAGTAGAGATGTGTTCGAGGTGGAAGATAACTTAGAGTGTTCGTGTTTGAAGTGTTCTGATGATAGGTGACATAGGGCGTCTAAAGATGGTTGAGGGTGTTGGATGTAATGCGATGGTTAAGTAGAGCAGAAGATAGTATATGACAGATGGTGCTGGTTGGAGATTGAGGGTGGTGAACATGTATTCTTTCTGCCACATCCTATGACTTTCTCGAACCCTTTGATATCTCATTTTCAGGAGTGCTTTATAAAGAGACGGACGTAGGCCTCGTCGAATCGTTGAAGGCCGAACCTTTAACATATTACGACTCGGTATTTGACAGATTACTTATTTTTGTACTTACCACTCGATAAATTAATTATTGGTTAATTTCTAGCCGGTCGTAGCGCAGAAAAAGGACCTGTACAAGAAGATTCAGAAGAGGATCGGGCTGATCAGAGCGTACCTGGCCTGTCTCAGAGATTTCGACGACGAAAAGAAGTTCAATTTGACCAAGTCGGTCGGTGACCACCTCAACTCCCTTAACGACCATGTCGACTGGGCTGTAAATTTAACAAGGGCACAGATTGTAAATTGAAAGTTTTTAAAATATTTTTTTTCTCGTTTTAGCTCTCTCAGCGGTACCTCATACCTCGAATCCACCTTTCCATCCCCGCCCGGGTCTCCAATAAGGGCAAAAGCGTCGAAGAGATTCTCGAGCGCTACAAATCCCTGCTATATTTCTTCTCGTTGACACTGCAGGGCGAGACGACTTCACCGACAGCGCTGAGCAGCACATTTTGGTCAAAGACTGCGGAATTAGTGACCCGACCGTTCTTTCAAAAATGAGGAAGGACCGCGAAAAGACCACGGGCCGAAAGTAATCTCTCAGCTCTCATATACACATCCATATGCAATTTTTGTTCCAATTAATAAAAGCTTAACAATTATTCTTGTTTTCCTATCGACAACGTATGCTCGTGTCCAAAGCATGAAAATTAGGCGAGTAAAGCTCGTGTTCACTAAGAGTATCAGGATGGAGGAGGTAAAACTACCTTTGGATTTGGAATTCAGAGGTAGCTCCAGTTTATATCAAGGTAATTTTTTTTTTCTGGTGTTATGAACTATGCAAATTAGCCCTGGTGACAATTCTTATGTGTGTTCAAATTGGGGGGGTTTCGTGAAACAAGGGCCAGAGGCGACGGTGGGAATCGAACCCACGACCGCAGCGTGAGAGTCTCTCATGCTAACCACTCGGCTACCGCGGTCCCCATATCAAGGTAATATGATGACATAAAGTTCTTATTTAGACCTAGAATTCCAGAAATTTTTCGAAATACCGTCGGAGTTTCTGTTTACCCAGAGTTCCAAGATAACGAATCCAACCTCTTATCTACGCAGGTTACAGAGATTATGTCAGATCCAACGTGGCCTCCGGCTTTGAAAGTATGTCAAGTTGAGGCAAGTAAAATTGCTTTAAAGGTAGAGTGCCATAATATTGATGGGATCCAGTAGCTCGTGTATACTGAAATCACTGTTTGTATACAACCCCCCGGGAATTTTAATTAAATTTGTAAAGAGCTCCTTCCATGTTGATTTTTTTAAAATTTTCTACGCCAGGTGGGTCGAAGAATAATTTGCTAAAAATTCTAGTAATTCGCAAGTTAGATAAAGACACCGATGCGAATTTTTTGTCCAAATTTAATAAAGCTTAATTGACTTTTGCTCCTGTCCAAAGATAGCTTCGAAATTAGGCGAGTGAAGCTTCTGTAGCTGACAGTATCAGGGTACGTTAAGCTGTTCACTAGAGTTAAGTGAAGCCATATCTAAAATCAGGATGGGATTCACTAGAAGCTTCTTTAAGCGTATCAGGATGAAACAAGCTCTAGAGATCTAACTCCGTAGAATGAGGAGTTCGATGGAATCCACTTGTAGCTCCTGTTATGTAAGAGTATCAGGATGAAAGAAGCTCCTCTACTGAAAGCATCAGGTTATTACAGAACCCAATCGCAACTCCGGTTTTTGAAGAGTATTTGGATGATAAGGTGTCCTAAGATCGAACTCCGTAGAATGAGGAATTCGATGGAATCCACTTGTAGCTCCTGTTATGTAAGAGTATCAGGATGAAACAAGTAAAGCTAAACCCAAACGCAACTCCGGTTTTTGAAGAGTATTTGGATAAGGTGTCCTAAGATCTAACTCCGTAGAAAGAGGAGTTCGATGGAATCCACTTGTAGCTCCTGTTATGTAAGAGTATCAGGATGAAACAAGCTCTTCTACTGAAAGCGTCAGGGTATTACAGAACCCAATCGCAACTCCGGTTTTTGAAGAGTATTTGGATAAGTGGTCCTAAGATCTAACTACGTAGAAAGAGGAGTTCGATGGAATCCACTTGTAACTCCTGTTATGTAAGAGTATCAGGATGAAACTAGTAAAGCTCCTCTGTACTGAAAGCATCAGGATTTTATAGAACCCAACCGCATCTCCAGTTTTCTAAGAGTATTTGGATGAGATACGTTAAGATCCTACCTCAATAGAATATCACGATTTTGACGGAATCTTCTAGGAGCTTCTGTTTTATAAGAGTATCAGGATGAAACAAATAAAGCTCCTATGTAGTGAAAGCATCAGGATTTTATAGAATTCAATCGCATCTCCGGTTTTCTAAGTATATTTGATTGAGGTACGTTAAGATCCTACCTCCGTAGAATATCATGATTTCGACGGAATCCCCAGGAGATTCTGTTTTCTAATAGTATCAGGATTTCGCAAGTAATGCTCCTTTAAACAAACATTGTCAGGATTTTGATGGTGTCCAGTTGGCGCTACTCGTACTTACAACGTTGTGGGAGCGTGTATTTATAACGTTGTGGGATTAATATGGTTATAAAAAATAAAATAATAAGTCTGTATCCGTTAAATATAAAAAAACTTCTTATATTTATAACAAATTAATGAATCGAATATATCTTATATATGGTTAAACTAATTAAGTAAGGAAAAGGGAATAATTTCTTATGATAGAATGTAATTAAGTGTAAAGTTATTGTTTGGTTTCCTTTTCTTTTCTTTTCGTTTCAAGTTGTACAGTATAGTGTAACAAACCTTTATGAACGAACACCACTCCACAAGAATTTTTCACTAGCAGTTTTTTTGTCTTGATAACGTCACACACTTTTATTGTTACTTTATCTTCTTTCTAAAGTTGCAAGCGACCGAGTAACTCCAAATCCAGCGTGGCTCTCTCTTAGCCTGCCGCCGTCCTTTCGTCTGCCTCCTCAATCGTTGTAACACTGCCTTATTGATTGTTTATGTCGCTTTGGCGGCCTTTATGAAATGGCTTTGTCAATACTAGAGCATTAGGATTTTATGCAACGAGTGCTAACCACTAAGCCTAACATGATGAATGACGTTAAGATCAATCATCCGTAGAAATAAGGATTTCGGTGGAATCCAGCTGAATAGCTCCTGATAGATTTAGCAACCATACATTACATATGGAAAGCCAGGCTGTAATGGTAAAATATCATATTATTTTTATAATTTTGGGTTAAAAGTTTTTAATCTTTCGAATTCGAACCCAAAAAACTATAATCTTTGACATTTTCCATCAAAGATTTATCTACATTATTTCTGTTAATAATTCTCTTTCAATAGATAATCGTTTGTTTCGTGTTTTGATTTTTAGATTTACACGGATAATTTTCCGCAATCAGACCGTGAAAGGTTTTTTTTTTAACTTTTCTATTTAAATTCATTTTTATCTACTGTCAGAAAATCGGTCGGGACGAGTGAATTGATTAGCGCAAAAGAATGGTGGAATGCGTGCCGGTGACTGCGTTCATGTTGATGTGTCGTTACATGGCATACATCGGTGACTTTACGTAACTTTTAATTTTTATTTTTATATTCGATCTGTTTTTCAATGTTTCAAACAGGCAATATGGCTGGTTATCAGGAAACCACGACGAATGGGACTCGTTACATAAAATTCGAGGGTATACGCTACGCCCAGAAGTCGTTCCCAGAGACGCGTTTCATGGTGAATATATGTCATTGGTTCTTTTTCGTTTTTTCATGTTGATGCTTTAAAGGAACCGTATCCAGTCACTAAAAACGAGAACATAGGGCGGAGGGTGGATTGTATGGAGATAAACCCGGAAGACGGTTTACTGATTGGTGAAGAAGACTGCCTCTTCCTTAATGTCTTCGTTCCTCTACTAGACGTACGTTATTGTGTGAAGGGTTATTTTAATTTGTTAACGATTTCGGTCGTTTGAAGGAAAAAAAGTCGATGCCGGTCATGATATGGATCCACGGAAGGGCTTTCCCTCTGAGGAGCAACAGAGTGTCTATATACAACCCGGAGCCGCTCATGGATCATGAGATGATCGTTGTGACGTTGGCATACCGGCTAGGTCCACTTGGTACGTGAACTCCTTTTTTTTACTTTATGATCCTTTAACAAACTGGCAAGTTTCGAACATTGTATTGATATGGGTTGTTCGATCTGGAGGTCAAAAGGATTTTCTCCAATGTTGACCTCGTGTAGCCACAAGGATCCAGCGGCAAAGTGGTCTCCTGTTGCATTTTGCCTGATTTTAAACAGAATTAAGCTCCTTTGATGATCAGGAAAAATATGGATTCAATACAAATCGACCTTCTGGTACTTGGTGACTTATCAGGGTGAGAGGTGTCCGCCTAATGATCTCCTGTTACTTATCTTGACATGTAATTTTAATGTGTTTCTGTTATTTCCTGCAAAGTTAAGCTCCTTTGATGATTAGGATTTGAAAAAATAAGGATTCAGTACAAATCGACCTTCTCGTACCTGGTGACAACATGGTGACAGGTGTACGCCTAATGACCTCCTGTTACTTATCCTGACATGTAATTTTAATGTGTTTCTGTTATTTCCTGCAAAGTTAAGCTCCTTTGATGATCAGGATTTGAAAAAATAAGGATTCAGTACCTTCTCGTACCTGGTGACAACATTGAGAGGTGTACGCCTAATGACCTCCTGTTACTTATCCTGACATGTAATTTTAAAGGGCTCCTGTTTTTTTTTAAAGAAAGTGGCCGCAGATAGTTTAACCTCCCGTTATTCACTGAAAGGTTGAATTCCTGCTCCTTCCTGCTAACATGATCTCTTGTAGCTGGCTGATAAATAACAGGATTAGTATTTGCTCGAAACCAACCTCTGTTACTTTTTTTAAACAGAATGTTAAACCTCCTGTGAGGACTACGAATGAATCAGGATAATGGAAGTATTCAAGTAAAATTGAGTCCCTGTGGCGAATATAGTTTGTATGGTTTATTTTTTGTGGCGAGTAAAGTAGAGAAAATATCAGGATTATCTTGAAAGCCCCACGAGCTGTGTTACTTCTCGAATTGGATTTTAGAGTAAGTTGAGCTCCTGTTAATTTCTAAATTGGTATGTTAATAAATGGTTGAACTTTGGTCGACTGGGAGAGGAGAAATACCAAGACCAGATGTATTGCATATTAGCTATTGTAACCATTCGAGCTTGCGTGAAATGAAGCTCTTGTGGAAACCAGGAGGGGTATGGTGATGGTCGTCACATTGATGTCCAGTTTTTGATTCCGTGAAATTTTTACAATCTGGCAGGTTTCGACCACTGGAGGGAACCGTTGTTGGATCTTGGTGTCAGAGACCAGAAGTTGGCTATAAAATGGGTCTTGAGGAATATCCACATGTTCGGAGGTGACCCGGAGAGGATAACTCTGGCCGGGGAGAGCGCGGGCGCGGTGTACGCCCTTCACCATGTCAACGGCTACTTCAAGGGGGAGGTGCGAAAGGCGATCGCCCTAAGCGGGTTCAGGTACTCCCAATGGGCCATGACCCTTCAGCGCTGGACCAAGAGCCAAACCCAGGACCTTTTCCACTCGCTCAAATGCGATAATTTAGACTGCATGAGAGAAAAAACCTCGGTGGAGATCGTCAACAGTTCCTACGTGTATAACACAAAGGTACCTCATAACTTATAAGACGTGTGAATAGGATGACAGTTGAATTTCACCGCAGAACCGTTGGCTTTGGTGGAATATATTCAACGAATTTCGTCCTCCGATTGACTACAGGACATTAATGGACGAGCCTTGGGTTAAAGAGAAGCAAAGGGGTAACCATTCCCTGCTCATCGGCCTCAGGTTACACGAAGGGGACATCATTGATGAATGTAAACGTTCAGGTCAAGTGTAAAAGTCTTCTAATTTACAATCTCCCCGAAGTTTCAGCTAAGTATAAAAAGTCTGAAGAAGAGCTCGGACGATATTACTGTCAGTATTCATACTACACGAAAATGTTTGAAAAGAAGGTTACCCGGCACTGCGACTACTTCTTTGACCAGATGATATCATCTCTATATCCGGACGACGATTTGGCAAGTAGCATCAAGAACTTTGTCGAAGACGGCTGGGCCCTTTTCCCGAGCTCATTGGAGGCGAGGTATCATCTAGGAGACTTCGAAGGGTTCATGTATGAATTCAGGATGTGCGGAGCGACTCCGAACTGCACGCTACAGTGCAAGGTGCCGTTCATGAAGATCAATGACGGATGCCCTCCATACCGCAAAGAATATGAACCTGTAGCTAGCCAGTTCAAGAACGTCATCGCCGATTTCGTACACGGAAGGTCAGAAGTAGTCCCTTTCTCAAAGTGCTAATACTTAAAAGAATATTTTCCAGGGATCTCCAAGTTAAGCACTTCATCGTCGACAACTACTTTTTCAACATCACGGACCCTCTGATTAACCCAGTCTCTTACTCCCACTACTTCATCAGTGAGGATTTGGCCTGGAGAATGAAAAGTTGGAAGAGATACTTTAGACAGAAATAAACTTTAATGAAATTTAATCATATTATTTCTTCTTTGCACCATTAAAGTGGATGGTTTGAATTTTGCATTATCAAGAATACAGAATTGGTAGGCAAATTATTATTATTTTTTGTTGAGAAAGGTAGAATAGAAATATTTGAAGTAAAACCCACCTGTGAGCTCCTGTCTTCCGGTAGGATGGTATTGTCGACTTTCAAATCGTGTTTTTATGAAGAACCGTTGAAGATTTAATGGCCACTTAAGAAAACCCGATTTGAAAAGTGCGTGTATTAATTTTGAATGCCGTTTTATTTATTTATTAGAAAACACGTTCAACAATCGTAAAATTGTACATTAAAGAATGCCCGCAATGCTAGAAATTGAGCGCGCATGCTGTTTAGGGATGGTTAGGGTTCGCAACAGCAGAGGTCATATAAACCCTCAGGGTGCCGGTGTTTTTTTGAAAAAAAGCCCATTTGTTAGTATGTCGGGCTCGAATGCAAGGCCGCTGGATTCGAACCCGGGACCTTCACATTACAGTGATGAGCGCCGTGTCAAAGACTAAACCTTGCGGCCACCGACGCCCCAAGCGCATGCTGTTATCTGAGAAGGAAACATGGAAGAAGCCAACGTTAACTACTAATTGATAGGAAGCTGTTATTGAATGAAAAAAAAGAACGATCAGGATATGAAAAAATTATAAAAGAGCTCATGTTACTGCCAGGAAATTTTGAGGAGTCGGGAATGGGCGAAAATAGTTCCTCTTTCCGCCGGATAACGTGACCTCCTCTGCCTCCACGATAGGCTACGCTCCTGTTCGTACCTTCTATTGTGTGGTACATAAGATAGATTGGTGTAAACATATTTTTTGTAAAGGATAATGATTAAGATATAAGTAAAATGAATTTCCCCCTGTTACCCTTAATTTAAGTTATATAAGCTCCTCTTTCTATCAGGAGTTAAGTTCCTGTTTATCTTTCCTAGTGTGGAAAACGTATTAGAATCGGAACGTTTAAAAAAATGAACTGTTGCTACAGTCAAAATCTTACAGTATCAAACTGTGGAACTTTAGGAAAATTAGCTCCTTTATCTGTTAGGATAGATAAGAATTTATGACCTGGAAGCGACTACAATCATGAGTCGTGCTCCCGTCCATGATCCCAACAAACTTCCGTTCCTCTTTCCTATAGTGTCCGATTGCGGAAGAATTACAAAAATGAGCTCCTGTGGCAGTAGGAAAAGCTGAGGGGGAACGAGCTTCTGTTCTCTCCAAGTCCTCCATACAACCTCCTTCCAACACGAACTCGTACATCTGACAGGTAAGGAAAAGTACCAGCATTTAGGTTAATCATGAGCCGTGCTCCCGTTCCTCTCTCCAACAGTGCCACAATTTTGAATTTTACATAAATGAAATAAACGTTTATTGATTTATATTATTTATATGACCAATTCTTTTGAAAAAATAATCGTTTAATTTGCGATCATATTTGTTTCAAAATTTACATTTACACGGATAATTTTCCGCAATTAAACCGTGAAAGGTTTTTAACTTTTCTATTTAAACTCAACTTTTCAGAAGTCAGAAAATCAGTCGGGACGAGTTGCATTAATTAGCGCAAAAGAATGGACGAATGCGTGTACATGACTAAGTTCTTGTTTGCGTGTGGTTCCATAGCATACATCGGTGACTTTACAGAACTTTAAATTTTAATTTTTTATATTCGATCTGTTTTAAAATTTTTCAAACAGGCAAATTGACGGGTTATGAGGGCTACACGACGAATGGGACCCGTTACATGAAATTCGAGGGTATACGCTACGCCCCGATGACGTACTCAGAGTCGCGTTTCATGGTGAATATTTATCACTAGTTCTTTTCGTTTTTTTCATGGTGTTGATTTAAAGGAACCGTATCCAGTCACTATAAACGAGAACATAATGGGGAAGGTAGATTGTTTAGAGGTGAACCCGGTCGACGGTGAAGTGATCGGAGAAGAAGACTGCCTCTTCCTCAATGTCTTCGTTCCTCTAAGAAACGTACGTTATTGTGTGAAGTGTTGTTTTAATTTTTTAATGCTTTTGGTTGTTTGAAGGCTAATAAGTCGATGCCGGTCATGATATGGATCCACGGAAGGGCTTTCCCTCTGAGGAGCAACAAAGTGTCTATATACAACCCGGAGCCGCTCATGGATCATGACATGATAGTTGTGACGTTGTCATACCGGCTGGGTCCACTTGGTACGTGTTTTTTATTTTTTATTCCATGATTTTTTTTTAACAACTCCGCAGGTGTCAACCACTGGAGAGAACCACTGTTGGATCTTGGGGTCAAAGACCAGCAGATGGCTATAAAATGGGTCTTGAAGAATATCGACATGTTCGGCGGTGACCCGGAGAGGATAACTCTGGCCGGGGAGAGCGGTGGCGCAGTGTACGCCCTTCACCATGTCAACGGCTACTTCAAGGGGAAGGTGCGAAAGGCGATCGCCCTAAGCGGGTTCAGGTACTCCCAGTGGGCCATGACCCTTCAGCGCTGGACCAAGAGCCAAACCCAGGAGCTTTTCCACTCGCTCAAATGCGATAATGTAGAATGCATGAGGGAACAAAGCGCCGTGAATATCGTCGACATTGCCTACGAGCATAACAAAAAGGTACCTCACTCCTGATAAGACGTGTGAATAGGATGACAGTTGAATTTCACCGCAGAACCGTTGGCTTTGGCGGAATATATTCGACGCGTTCCGGCCTGGTGTTTGCTTCAAAGCATTTGAGGCCGAGCCATGGTTTAAAGCGAAGGAAAAGGGTAACCATTCTCTGCTCATCGGCCTGAAGAGACACGAAGGGGACATCATAGACGAATGTAATCGTCAAACGTTCAGGCCAATTATCTAATCCTTCTAATTGACAACTTCCTTGTAGTTTCAGCTATGTATAACACATCTGCGGTAGAGCTCGGGCGTTATTACTGTACGTACTCTTATGATACGTCATTGTATGGAATGAAGCCGAGGCGATACTGCCGCTACCCGTTTACCGAGTCCATATCATCCCTTTACCATCCGGATGATGACTTGGAAACAGGTATCAAAAAGGCTGTCGGAGACGGCTGGGTCGTTTTCCCGGCCAGCGTTGAAGCCTCTTTACACCCCGGAAACTTGGAAGGGTTCATGTATGAATCCAGGATGTGCGGGGCGACTCCGAACTGCACACTGCAGTGCAAGGTGCCGTTCATGAAGATCGAAGACGGATGCCCTCCATACCGCGAAGAATACGAACCGGTAGCTAGCCAGTTCAGGAACGTCATCGCAGATTTCGTACACGGAAGGTCAGAAGTAGTCCCTTTCCTAAAGTGCTAATACTTAAAAGAATATTTTCCAGGAATCTCACAATGAAGCATTTCATCGAAGACAACGACTTTTTCAACATCACGGACCCTCTGATTAACCCAGTCTCTTACTCCCACTACTTCATAAGTCCGGATTTGGCCGTGAGAATGGATGCTTGGACGAAATATTATTTCAAGTATTTGTCATAGTTGTCATACTGAAATAAACCGTAATGACACTTCATGCTATTATTTCCTCTATGAATTCTTATTACATTCTAGAATGATTACAATTGTTTTATCGATGGTATCAGGAAACATGGGCATCGACCTCCTGTGTCGACCAAACATCAAGACTATTGGGATTAGCACGAGCTCCTGTCAAAGTGGGTTGAGAGTCTTGCTTTATCAGGATTAATGGATAGCAGTAGATTGGCATACTGAGCTCCTTTCAAAAGTCAAGTGCAAGCTTTCCACTACCTTGCAGCTGATTTGGATAAAATAGAACTCTGCTAAGCAATTATCATGATGTCTGTTTTATCAAAAGCTTCTGTTATGTTCGTGTTGTATCAGGATAATATTTTTTAGGAAATGAACCTAATGTGGTGGCTAGTTTGTTGTTGTAGAAAGTTGAGTTCCTTTGGCGATTTCGAGTAAAGAAAGTACAAAAAAGTCGCATCCTGTTACTTTGTTACTCGTGGGATTAGGATTATCTTTATTATCATCTTTATCGTTATTATCTTATTAGGATTATCTTTTGGAAATTTGATCTCCTGTCGCGATGAAAATATCAGGGAGGTAGGTTAAATATCTGGATAAGTCATGTAAGCTATTTGAACCCCTGTTACTTTATGAACTGTTGCATCGTTATCCATATTTTTTTAACGACCTCCTGTAGCCAAAATGGAAAGTATCGGAACATGTAAGTCATGTGAGCTACTATTCTCTCTTGTGTTGAAACATCAGGATTGGGACTTTTATAAAGTATATATAAAGGTAAGCTTTTATAACAAGCATTTATAGCAATAAGAAAGTTGAGCTCCTGCAACTTCCTTACTTGTGGTGTTAGGATTGAGAGGTTTTTCTGTAATCTGATTTTGAAAAATCTTGTTGCTTTATGACCTGTGGCATGATAGTTTTTTTAAATAGTCGGAAAAATATTCAATTTGAGAAGGCGCAGTTGGGACAAGATTATTAAAAAACAAGTATGATCTACCTTGTCTAATAGATTAATTACCCTGTCAAACTGTGTCATCAGATAGTTATTAGCTGTTCCGGTTTTGGTATCATATTACATTTTATGTTGTATGGTGTGTTAAGAATCATCAGGTTAAATGAAGTGATGATCCGCAACAGCACGGGACTACTACAGATGATGGTCTTCGTTATGGCTGGTCTCAAGACGAAAAATTTCGGATCGGTGTTGAAATCATATGGAAATATTCGTTTCTCTCCTTGTTTTTCTTTTTGTCAGACCCGATGCCGTCCGAATTGGAGGTCGAGGCCAAAAGAGCACCTCGGAGATGTTGGTTAGATAACAGCTTGTACGCCTCCTTCGGGGGCATCACATACGCTAAGCCGCCAATCGGAGATTTCAGGTTCAAAGTAAGCTCGTGAGGTTAAAATTTTAAAAACGTGTTGTTTAATGTTTATTTATTTTTAAGAACCCACTCTGCCTCGATAAAATCGTCCTTCACGCTAACGAACGGCGAAGGGTCGATTGTAACCACCTCAACTTGAACGGCGAAGTCGTCGGAAAGGAGGGTCGCTCTGTACCTTTTCTAAAATCACAAAACCCACCTGGTTTTAACCTACACCGATTCCAGGTTAGCCAGTAAAGAAGCGCCAGATATTCTGGGCAACTATTCCACCACCAATCATATGGGTTCACGAGAGGATAGGTACTACTCCTAGGATCGTAGGGGAGGCATGGAGGATCACTTGGTGAACATGGCTGGGGGTCGTGGACATCCTGCACCACCTTCAGCATTTTGGTAAACTCGTACAGGATGTCATCAGGAGCTTACCTTATCCTTATCCCGATAGGTAACAGGAGGATATTTCGTGTAATTCCAAAACTTTTTGATTTTATCCTCTTCCTATCGATAGCCCAGTAACCTGAGATCGTTTCGTATAATCTCAAAAGTCGGAAGCTCCTACGATTTCTACTCCTTATGTTCTTTACAGCTTTGACAGAAGACCATTTCGCCATATTCCAAAACTAACTAGCACCTTGCACTCAAGGAATATGAGAACCTAAATGATGTGGACGAGCTGCCGTTCATCGTGACAGACGGCTGCGACAATGACCCCCGGGTATGACCGGGTCGGTGACAAGAGGGTCGATCTCATCGCTAAATTCTTTAAAATAAAAAACGGGTGAGTGGTGCCAAAACCGACACAAAATGTATACATACATTTGATCATTTTTTAACAGCCCCCAGGCGTTCCAAGGCCGGACCATGACGGCGAACTTTACAATATGACCCATGTGCAAAATTTGAAGGACGATAAACGCCATTTCGACGATATGAATTTTCCATAATATCTCATTTTTTTACAATTACGGAAAGTTGAGGTTATCGTCCTGCAGCAAATGATGTTACGAGTTGGATCTTCGGGAGGTCAAATGGCGGATGAAATGAAAGAACAAGGAACTGCTCCCGGGTTCACCCGAGCTTTCGGCGACTTATATCGCCATCCTCAGTACCAAGATTTATTAAAAAGCAATAAATATACTTTTTTTTGACAAAGCAATACAATTGAGTAACAATAAATTTCCAAAATTACAATTAACAAGTAACAAAAATAATTAATAAAAAAATATTCATTACAATACCTACATCCCCAAGGAAAATTAATTTAAATACATCGTATAGGTTAAGATTGCACATGTTGAGTAAGGCGTTGAGAGACAGATGCAGTTGATCTCCCGTTACTCACTGGCAGGTTGAATCCCTGCCCATTCCTGTTGATTAGAAAGCATTTTCTTCCTTCTAACAAGACTTCTTGTAGCTAGTAGATAAATAATAGTATCAGGATTAGGATTTGTTTGAAACAAACTCCTGTTACTTTTATGCTCCTCTGGGGACTACAGATGAATCAGGATACTGCAAGTATTCCATATGAACACTTGCACTATTGCAACTTTTATCAGGATTCGAATCGGCCTCCTGCGGCTGAGGCTTAGGCTTGTGATTAAGCTGTGCATTTGATCCTGGAGATTAGTTTTTGAAATTCATTTGGGATCTGGTTGATAATTACCGTTGATCTCCTGACCTCCTGATACTTTGCGCCTTGGATTGATTTAATTATTTTATCCTGGGATATACCACGAGTATAAGAAAAAGACCGTCCATACAAATTTAAGAGCTGGGACGTCCCAAAAGAGTAAAAGAAAAAGACCTTGACGCATTTAACAGCTCGGACGACAGTACTAAACCACAGTTTATAAAAGATATAGGTGCTGTACAAGAAAATCCGGAAGAGGATCGTGCTGCTCAGGGCGTACCAAGAGTAATGTGTGAGTGATAAAGGAACAAGACATGGAGGGATGAAATTTTGGGAAAAGGGTAGGGACGAGGGTTGTGATTGGTAAATCGGTTGCAATACGCGGGGTATATTGCGCATCAAAAAATCGGGCGTTTTTCTTAAGTGCGACATGCCCGAACAGTAATAGTATCACGTTTATGAGAGCAATGCTCTTATTTAACGAGAATGTCATGATTTCGATGGATTCAGGTGGTGCTACTGTTGTTCCTAGACTATTGGGGTGGTACAAGTAAGGTTTCTTCCCAGGTTGATTATTTGTATGATAAACGATCTCCTGCTATTCTGGATAATAAAAAGTATTAAGATAAGATTATGGTTTGGAACAAACTATGCTCCTGTTGCTGCCATTGAAATTGTATTTTCATGTCATTTTTCGCTTGAATTGGGTCAATTAAAGGAATAGACTATTCCAAATTCTCATCCTATTCACGATGCCATCGTCGACCTCCTCGAATGCGACTGGTGTGTGCAAGGCTTGCGTTATTGAGAAGATGTTCTTGTCTTCGGAGTGCTGCTTCAACTGGAGCTTCCTGAAAATGATACACGTTAGGTTATAATTTCGATCGGGTTTGTTCACAAGACCTTCCGTGGATGAAATCCGCCACGAGTTGGACTGACTCGTCCTCGACCCTCTGGTAAACGTTGTCGAACGGCGGGCAGTCTTCGAACGAGGTCAGAAACGGCGCCCTTACCCTGAACTCGCAGTTCAATTCCGGAAGGTACCTGTTGAACTTGACCATGAAAGCCTCGAAAGGCCCCGTGTGGAACTTGGCCTCAGCCATCGCGGGCATGAAGTACCAACTGTCGGCCGTGATGTTCTCAAGCTTTTCCATCGCTCCTCCTCCTTTGTACACATTGATCAACTTCGCACGGATCGACCGATAGTAGAAAGCACGCCTCATGCCCATGATCCTGTCAGGGTCATAAAACGAGTTGTAAACTTTCTCAGCCGTCTCTTCAGACCAATTGTTTCGACTGAAGACTGTAATGTGAAAGTTTAAACTGAGGATTTTTTTGTGGGATGAACAACTTACATGATCTGATGACAGTCCCTAGGTCTTCGGTTAAACCAATGAGCAGGGAGAAGCTAGTCTTTGGCTCGACTCGTCTCCAAGGGTAGGATTTCACCGTGACTCCGTCCACGACGGTCTTATAGTGGGACATTATTTGATTCCACAACGAGGATGACGTGAATAGCACGTTCATACCTAGAGGGGCGAACAGTGAGCCTTGTTTCTGGAGTTTGTAGGCCGTCTTGACTAGTCGGACCGCGTCCACTGATCTCAAGCAGTCAGGGTTGAAGTCGACACAGCCGAGGGCGAGGGCTAGTTCTAAAGTACGATTCCCGACCGTCTTCTTCTTGGAGATGGCCCACGGCGCATACCTGGACCCGCCGAACGCGATCCCCTTCTTGATCCGGCCGGAAAATTCGCCGTGGAGGTGGTGAAGGACGTACGACGCCCCTGCTCCTTCACCGGCGAGTGTAATGTTATACGGATTGCCTCCGTACAAATGGATATTCTTGATGATCCATTCTATAGCCATGGCCTGATCCCTGAGTCCGTAGTTTCCTGTAAAGTCAGCCTTCTCCATACTCGCAAAGCCGACCGCACAAAAACGTCAAATACACGAAAAAAAACACATCATAAATAGATACTTTACCAAGCGGACCCAGCCGATAACTCATCGTGACGACGACCATATTGTAATCCATAAGCTTGTACGGGTACAAATCACTCACTTTGTTGTTACCCTGTGCGAAAGCCTGGCCTTGTATCCAAACTAAGACCGGCAGCCCGGTCTTCGTCTGACGGACAGAAACGGTACAACGTTAGACACGGAAATTTCAATTTTGGGCGAAAGACGTGGCTAGATTGACCGATATCAGGAATACCTATCAGGTTTTGACAGGGGGGAAGTAACAAGATTTGGATTTCGTAAAACGAGCTACTGTTATTACATGACATATGAATCAGACTAGTAATTTTACCAAAATGAGTTCCTGTTACTGCCAGAAGAGTTGAACTATCAGGATTGGATTTGGTAAAACGAGTACTGGTTACTACTTTCCGAATGAATCAGAATTTTATAAAATGAGCTCCTGTTCCCCCGGATTAATTGAGTTACTGTTGCGTCATTTTAATTTGACCTCCTATTCTGTGCCCCTCCTGATTAATTGAGCATTGTGCCTTACTAACTATTTGAGTTCCTCTCTGATCAGTTGAGCTATGTGCCACCCACATAACTTCAACCCTCTTTGATCAGTTGAGTCCAGTTTCTTCATTTTAAGTTGAGTTCCTGTCCTTCTCTGACTAGTTGAGCTCCTGTTCCAAAACACTCACCTCTGACCCCCTTTGGATGCATTTCCTTTGATTACTAGCACTGATTACAAGATCACTGTTGAGGAGAGGGGCGGGTCGTTTTGGACCAGCAAACCTCCGATCTCGTTTCTACTAATGCCAGTCTTCCTTCTCACTACGATAGGACTACATAAAGGCGAGCATAAACCTTCACGGAAAACATTAAAAATAAAACAATAAAACAATTAAATTACAATTAAAATAAATAGGTATAAATCAATCAATTGATTTTAAATTAAAAAAAAATATAATTTGAAGTAATAAAGAAAAAAATATAAATAATAGATTTCAACTTCAAGTAAATAAAGTAAAATAAATTGTCAACTTCGAATAAAATAAATAAAATAAACTATTGTAAACTTCAAATGAATAAATTTAAAACAAATCCAAATCCAAAATAAATAAAATTAAAATGAACTTAAATTAACGATCGATCGATATTACAATCTAGCAAACAGTCCAAATATTTAATAAAGTGGTACCACTTCCCTCATAAAACGACGATCCAACGATGAACAGGTTGGCGATGATATTAATGACGATGACGAGGAAAAATGGTGACGATGCGACGAGAAAAACGAAAAAAAATTTACTTCGATGGAACAACGAACGAAAGACGACTGACTCTTATCTGCCGTAATCCGCCGACGCCGACTCACTGAGCAAAACAATAAACAGGTGCGGATTAACGAAACGCGATCNTCCAATTCCTGCAGGCACAACATTTATATCGGCGTGAACGAAAGTCTCGAATGTTCCCGTCAAACGCGCCGCCCGAAACTAGACTGTACTGTCTCTCGTTGTTTCTAGACTAGACTGTACTGTCTACTAGTCTAGAAACAACGCGGCTTTTCTTTGACAAGTGCCGCGCGTTCCTTTGATAAAGCCACCTTTTGCCGCAAGCAGTGTTATTTTATTACGTAATACATTTTTGTAGTTTAGTTACCTACCTACTTATTAAAAATTTTTTTCTTCTCGAGATCTATTCAAAAAGCACTCGCGATCGACTGGTCGATCGCGATCGACCGTTTGAGCACCCCTGGCCCAGAGGATCGTACATTCTAGCAATACATGACATTATACCCCTTTTGGTTCCAACGCAGTCCCGTAATTGCACATCGTATGAAATGACGTCCCGTGTAGATTCCCATTTTAGCCCCAATAATTTTACTGTGGAATCCTCCATATTGGATAGCGGAACTGACGAAGCCAATGTCGCGGTAGGTACATTTTTAAAAGTTCAGGGGAATTTCCGCTCCACTTCTGTAACTCAAAGCCCCCTGCTTTCAATAAACTAATCAGTTCTTGTTGGAGTCTGAGTGTTTCCTCAAGGGTGTTCGAACCGGTTAAAATGTCGTCTATATAAATATTTGATTTCAAGGCTTTCGAGGCTTGCGGATAGAGTCGTCCTTCATCGATGACCAGCTGCGATAGAACGCGCAGTGACAGGTACGGTGCGCACGAAAGTCCAAAAGATAGGCAATTAAACTCGTATTCTTGCACTGCTTCGGATGAGTCGAACCGATAGAAAAAATGTTGGAACGGTCGATCTAACGGGGAAACTAATATTCTCAAGTACATTTGGCTTATGTCAGTAATCATGGCAAAACGCGGCAAACGAAATCTGAGTAATACGTGCGAAATATCGTTTTGCAGTTTTGGGCCAGTCCAAAAATGATCGTTCAAGGTACCTTGGCCTGTCGTGAATGACGCGTCGAAGACTACTCGCAGTTTAGTTGTAGTACTATTCTTGATGACACCATGATGAGGCAGAAAACACCGACCAGCATTGACAGCAGGGACGGCACATTCCTTTTCCAGATAATCACCCCATCATAAGTTTGTTTTAATTGGGAATCTTTCAAGAGCTTCCGTTCTAACGTCTGCCAACGCTGCAAGGCCCCTAAGCGTGATTTTTCCAAACCGACCGGTTGAGCCTTGAAGGGAAGTGCGACCACGTAACGACCCTGGTCGTCACGATAATGCGTCCTTAAAAAATGTTCTTCACATTTGACATCCTCGGGATTTGTTCGCACGACAGTTTGCACTTCTTCGACTTCCCAAAATCTGGTAATGAGGTTATTTAGGTCTTCGCGACATTTTACGCTAGTACTAAGCAAGGTTGTTGAATCCTTGGTTGGTGAAGAATATACTTTTCCCATCAAGACCCATCCAAAGATGGTTTCCACTGCGAAGGGGAGTCCGTTGGGGAGTTTGACAGTGTGTCCTCTTAAAATTTCTNTCTTATCTGCCGTAATCCGCCGACGCCGACTCACTGAGCAAAACAATAAACAGGTGCGGATTAACGAAACGCGATCTTTTAAATAAATTCAACAATTAATTGGCGTTAACAATCACTAATCCACACATGATCACTAGTCGTAGCTTCCATGGTGATGTTAAACCGGGAGATACTGTTGTACAATGGCGGGGTAACCAGGATCAAATCTATTGACGAACTAATCTACTGCCGTATGTGCTCGGAGACTCATCCGTATTGACTAATCTGATATCCTGATTATCTTTCCTCTCTCGTTGGATTTCGAATACCCCAAGCAGGGTTATACGCATTGAAGTCACCTACGCTATCTCTGATGTCCTGTCTCCTGTCACAATGCATCGATAAGACAATGAATTCTCCTTTACGCTCTAGGAGACAACTTGCCATATCATGGCAGGTTTCGGGAAGCGTAATGGCTTTTATATTTGTATTCATAACATAAATGGCTGCTCGAAGGCGTCCCAGGGTTTATGGGTGTACAACACGTGCAGCTAGTCCCATTGCTCGATTTACTCTCCTAACCCAAGGCTCTTGTGCACGACATCGGCTTCTTCCTCATATACTCTGGCTTCATCACAAACTGCTAGTGAGCCGTGAAAATTCAACTGGGCAATTGCTAAGCTAGCTTTCCTCATTTCTATTGCAAGGTTATTTCCGCGTCTTCCCTACCCGAAACGGTGGGATACTCGCCGGGCTCCTGCGGGCTACTATCCATAGGTTGTGTTACTCTCCCGTAGTCTGTTATGCTTCTAGCATAATTTTTGCTCGCAGATGCATCTTACATTTCTCGGTACCTGTCCGATGGTTATGCTTAGCCAGGCTCTTGCCCAGTTAATACACAGCTCATACGTCGCCTGGCAGTCTTTAGTGTTGTGAGGCTCAGAGCAGTTAGCACATGTTAGCTCTATTCGTGGGCACTGCGTGGCTGTATGCAATTGTAGCAGCTGGTGACATCTAGGTACTCCTTTACTGCTCATGATTGTTAATCCAAGAATACTTTGCCTCGGTTAATCACCATTTTCCGGAATAACTTTAATTACCCAGGAGACAAAGGGGCTGTGTTCTCGAGGTTCTCTGCCGTATCTTACTGTGTGTAACAGTCGCATTTTGTTCCCAGTCGCTGATAAAATGATCGTTGGCCATTAATTGCTCTTTTAACTGAACTTCTGCTACCCCCTCCGATTGGTTGATGTACTGTTTCTTCATTACATGTTACCTCCCTATACCTTCTGATAGCGTGACCTCTTGCATTAGTTGAGATCAGTGCCTCCAGCATAACTTGACCGCCTGTCCATCCCTGGATTATCTGATTGCTTTTTTCATGATGGGAAGAGTTTCAGTCCATCCGTAGTAACTAGGCTCTTGACCCACCGTTTTAAGAGGAGCTTCTGTTTCTTCATTATAGGTTGATATCGTGTCACCAGTTATCATTATAGATTGGGCACCTGTTTCTCAATTATCATTATCGTATCTGCTTCTCTACGATGAGCTGAGCTCCAGTTAACTGTTTTTCAGCAGAAGAATTTTTAAGAATAGGAGTTTACCTGTTGATTCGAACTTCATTTACTCGTTTTAAAGGGTCGTGGCGCATCTGTATTAAGAATTGGACTATTATACGTTAACTTACGAATGGATCGGGGGTGTGGATGTTGAGGAAAAGGCAGTCCTCCTGACCGAGGACCTTGCCGTCCGACTGGTCGACCTCGAGGCAGTCGATCTTACGCCCCGTCGCTGAGTAATATTTGATCGGTTCCGGGTCCTGGTAACGGTTTTTTTTGTAATATAAACAAAAGAAATTGGAAAATTAGTTGTATTTACTCTGAAACGCAGATCGCCGATGGGAGGCTGGGCATAACGTACGCCGGCGAAGGAGGTGAACATTCTGCCGCGGTAGGACTCAGTTAAGTCGCCACTTTTCAACCCGGCCATGTTCTGCAGGTGATGCCACGCAGCAAGGAATACAGCAATGGTATTGTTCTCCGCCGTAAGTAACATCGGTCGCTTTTCTCGACTTTCAATCCTGTTTTCTTTTTAATAAAGAACCGTTGAACATTTAACGGACGCTTAAGAAAACCCGATACTAAAAGTGCGTGTAATTAATTTTGAATGCCGTTTTATTTATTTATTAGAAAACACGTCCAACAATAGTAAAATTGTACATTATAAAATGCCCGCAATGCTAGAAATTTAAAAAATTAGAAATGGTCTATTACTGCCAGAAAATGTAAGGTGTCTGGAATGGGCGAAAAGAATTCCTCTTTCCTCCGGATAAGGTGACTCCTATGTCTCCACGATAGGCTACGCTCCTGTTCGTACTTTCTACTGTGTGGTAAATAAGATCTATTGGTGTAAACAAACTTTTTGTAAATGGTGGGCAACCGGTAGCTTTCTGACGATCATCTGATCCGTCAGGAGTCCCGTTTGTCCAGGCCATCCGCCTAAGGACCAACTCGATGGGAACGAGGGAGGCCATGAGGAGAGCAGACAATAGTTTGCCAGCCGAATGTAGGAGATGTGGGGCTAGCAACGAATCTCTCTCCCATGTGCTGTCCACATGCCCGTCGAGTAAAGAAAAGATTATAAAGCACCACAGCGATTGAGTCGAGGTCCTTGCCGCCGGTCTCCGTGCTTCCGGGTACACAGTTAGAGTCGAGCTCCCCCTAAGGACCGACGATGGGCAAACGCTGCGACCGGACATAGTCGCCACTAATCAAGATGAGGTACATGTACTAGATCTTGCAGTGGCATCTGAATCTGGCGACGCGCTAAGCCGTGTGGAGGAGGCAAAGGGCGAGAAGTACATGGTGCTTCGCGACGTGCTCTTGGAGCGGTGCCAGAAGCCGTATTTTACGGCCAAAGGCATCGTGATCGGGGCGCGTGGGCCCTCCGCGACCTCGGAGTATCAAACCTCCCGAGGGTGCTCCTCACTATGTCACTGATCGCCCTGCGTTCTTCGCTGGCTATCGCGTCCGATCATATGGACAGGGACAGACGCTTTATGCTACCTGTCAGACATGAGCCGGCCAGTGAGTTGCTCCAACTGCCCCCCGGCGAAGACTGACCACGGCGACGAAGAGGGGACACCACGTCTGGTCCTGAGGCGGCGTCGAAGGAGGAGAATTTTACAAAAATGAGCTCCTTTTAATGTAAGAAAAGGTAAGGTATCAGGATTTGGTCTTAGGAGAAACGTGCTCCTGTTACTGCCAGAAGAGGTGAAATTTCAGGATCGGAACGGATTAAAAACTGAGCTTTTGTTGCGGAAATCTTGAGGTGTGTAAAATGTGTAACTTTTGGGTAATTAGCTTTTCTAACTGTCAGGCTATATAAGTTATCAGGATTTGGTTTTAGGGGAATCGAGCATCTGTTCTCTCCAGGTCCGCCGTTTAGCACCTCCCCTACTAACGCGAACTTGTACATCTGAGAGGTAAGTAAAAGTACCAGCTTTAGGTTAATCATAAGTCGTGCTCCCGCTCCTCTCTCCTACAGTGCCACAATTTTGAATTTTACATAAATGAAATAAAGATTTATTGATTTATATGACAAATTCTTTTTAAAAAATAATCGTTTAATATGCGATCATATTAGTTTCAAAATTTAGATTTACACGGATAATTTTCCGCAATCAAACCGTGAAAGATTTTTAACTTTTCTATTTAAACTCAACTTTTCAGATGTCAGAAAATCAGTCGGGACGAGTTGCATTAATTAGCGCCAAAGAATGGACGAATGCGTGTCCGTGACTAAGTTCTTGTTTGCTTGTGGTTCCATAGCATACATCGGTGACTTTACGGAAATTTTAAATTTTAATTTTTATATTCGATCTGTTTTTCAATGTTTCAAACAGGCAAATTGACTGGTTATGAGGACTACACGACGAATCGGACCCGTTACATGAAATTCGAGGGTATACGCTACGCCCACAAGTCTTTCTCAGAGTCGCGTTTCCTGGTGAGTATGTGTGTTATTGGTTCTTTAACGTTTTTTCATGTTGATGCTTTAAAGGAACCGTATCCAATCACTACAAACGAGAGCATAGGGCGGAGGGTGGATTGTATGGAGGTAAATCCGGAAGATGGTTTACTGATTGGTGAAGAAGACTGCCTCTTCCTTAATGTCTTCGTTCCTCTACTAGACGTACGTTATTGTGTGAAGGTTATTTCAATTTGTTAACGATTTCGGTCGTTTGAAGGAAAAAAAGTCGATGCCGGTCATGATATGGATCCACGGAAGGGCTTTCCCTCTGAGGAACAACAGAGTGTCTATATACAACCCGGAGCCGCTCATGGATCATGAGATGATCGTTGTGACGTTGGCATACCGGCTGGGTCCACTTGGTACGTGATTTTTGTTTTATTCCATGATTTTTTTTTAACAACCACGCAGGTGTCGACCATTGGAGGGAACCGTTGGTGGATTTTGGTGTCAAAGACCAGCAGATGGCTATAAAATGGGTCTTGAAGAATATCCACATGTTCGGCGGTGACCCGGAGAAGATAACTCTGGCCGGGGAGAGCGGGGGCGCAGTGTACGCCCTTCACCACGTCAACGGCTACTTCAAAGGAAAGGTGCGAAAGGCGATCGCCCTAAGCGGGTTCAGGTACTCCCAGTGGGCCATGACCCTTCAGCGCTGGACCAAGAGCCAAACCCAGGAGCTTTTCCACTCGCTCAAATGCGATAATATAGAATGCATGAGGGAAAAAAGCGCGAAGGATATCGTTCGCAATGCCTACGAGCTTAACAAAAAGGTACCTCACTCCTGATAAGACGTGTGAATAGGATGACAGTTGAATTTCACCGCAGAACCGTTGGCTTTGGCGGAATATATTTGACGCGTTCCGGCCTGGTGTTTGCTTCAAAGCATTTGAGGCCGAGCCATGGTTTAAAGCGAAGGAAAAGGGTAACCATTCTCTGCTCATCGGTCTGAGGAGACACGAAGGGGACATCATAGACGAATGTAATCGTCAAACGTTCAGGCCAATTATCTAATCCTTCTAATTGACAACTTCCTTGTAGTTTCATCTATGTATAACACATCTGTGGTAGAGCTCGGGCGTTATTACTGTAGGTACTCGTATGATACGTCATTGTATGGAATGCAGCCGAGGCGATTCTGCCGCTACCCGTTTACCGAGTCCATATCATCCCTTTACCATCCGGATTTTGACTTGGTAACGGGTATCAAAAAGGCTGTCGGAGACGGCTGGGTCGTTTTCCCGGCCTGCGTTGAAGTCTCTTTACACCCCGGAAACTTGGAAGGGTTCATGTATGAATCCAGGATGTGCGGGGCGATTCCGCACTGCACACTGCAGTGCAAGGTGCCGTTCATGAAGATCGATGACGGATGCCCTCCATACCGCGAAGAATACGAACCGGTAGCTAGCCAGTTCAGGAACGTCATCGCCGATTTCGTACACGGAAGGTCAGAAGTAGTCCCTTTCCTAAAGTGCTAATACTTAAAAGAATATTTTCCAGGAATCTCACAATGAAGCATTTCATCGAAGACAACGACTTTTTCAACATCACGGACCCTCTGATTAACCCAGTCTCTTACTCCCACTACTTCATAAGTCCGGATTTGGCCGTGAGAATGGATGCTTGGACGAAATATTATTTCAAGTATTTGTCATAGTTGTCATACTGTAATAAACCATAATGACACTTCATGCTATTATTTCCTCTAGTAATCCTAATTACATTCTAGAATGATTAAAATTGATTTATGAAATGGAAAAATGGGTATAGACCTTCTTTGTCGACCAAACATAAAGACTATTGGGATTACCACGAGCTACCGTCAAAAGTTAAGAATAAGCTTTCCACTACCTTGCAGTGCTGACCCACTTCATCCTCAAAAGACAACTGATACTCCCCAATTAGACTTTCTTGTGCTGTACACCGTGTGGCTTATTCACATAAAACTAGACCGCAAGCATACATATCAATTCTGAGGAAAGCATGTCTTGAAAAGTTAATGGCACCTTCCAACACTTCTGGAGCCATGTATCTTCTTGTTCCAACTTGGCTGTGAGTGTCACCACACGGTTTTCCAGGTTGGAAGATCAGTGCCAATCCAAAATCTGCTATGCATGCTGTTAAGTCTGATTTAAGAAGAACATTTCTCGATTTAAAGTCACGATGCGCAACAGCCGGTTTATACCCCTCTGTTTTAGTCGGTGACACAGCACGTCGCAAGGAGTCCATTCTAGCCCCGTCAACATTAGTTTCATACATCCATCTTGTACGAATGCCCATATACTTTTCACAGGTCAAGGCCACGTCAGCAGTCTCCGGTATGCCACACTCGCAGAGTGGACTTTCAGCCCAAATCCGTGGAGCTTGGCCGAGAAGTCTCCGTGGTCTGTTAACAACTGCGACATGTAATGGTCCGATTTTATATATGTCATGTTCAGGCGTCTCCTAATACTGCCAAACATCCAGCGAAGATCGAACCTTTTCTTCCGTTTGTGCAGGAATACAGGGCTGAAATCCGTTTGCAAGCTCCCGCGCACTCAGCCTTGGCCTGAAGATCTACTGGTGGTGTCCCGCAATAACTTGCAATGCATCAGTCAACACTGTCCTGTACGACTGCATAACAGCCGGCAGTGCCGTCCATTCTACTGTTCTTAATTTGCGCGTCCACGCTGGTGCTGCGTATGAAAAGACCGCTTTACATAATGCTTTGTAATAGATATTTCTTGTTCCCCAGGTCGTCCCCGGACAGCGAACGCATTACTGCAATCGTGCCAAGATTTTGTCATTTATATGCCCTGCATTTGACCCAAAACGCACGCCATTTTGATTCCAAGGTATGAAATGACTGGGGGCATTTTGATAGTCCTGCCATCAATTCTGATAACCGGCGGGAAGCGTGTGTTCAGTCTGCCTTTCAGCAACATCAGGGATGTTTTGTCTGGGGCTAGCTGGAGTTTCTCTCTCCTGCACCAGTTATTCAGTAGGACCGCAGCTCTGCCTTTTCGTTCAATATAATTTAGTGTCAGCTGGAATTATAACTACTATGTCGTCAACATAAGCAAGTGCCTTTATCCATCCTTGCTTAGTTACGTATGGGCTCCATCGAATAACACCGTCCACAGATATGGACCCAGAACCGATCCCTGTGGAACATCTAGTTCTACTGTCCGGCAACTGTTTTATCTGTTGGGCTGTCAGTTTTAATGGCTACTCCTCCTTTGGCAGTTGTTCTGATGCCTTGAAGTTTGATTTTGGTGATGCGCGGATTGATTACTTCATTTAATTAACTTGCTTGATTAGATCAGATGATTCTAAATTATCTGGTTTATCAATTAGGATGATTTTGCTTTGCGCATCTTTTAATTTTGTTGCTTCTGCGGCCAGGTTCATCTTATTCCATGCAGAAATTTTATTTTGGATTTGGGTTTTATTTTGGATTTGGTTGTATATACTTTTGCTTGTTTGTTCTCTTAACTACTTTACTCCAGGTTTCCGTTGCCTTTTCCTAGATGTTAGTAATATCGTTAATTTTTCCTTGTTGAGATGGTGCTTGTTGCGGTTTGGTGTATTGTTTGACGCTTATTGATGTTTGTATAGTTTTCTTAGCATTAAGTAGAGTTATGACTTTGCGAATTCATCAGCCACTCTATCAAACGATGGGGCTAGAGCTGCAACAATTTTTTCTGGTACATTATCAGTAGCGGAGAGCTGTCAATCTGTAAATACATGTTTATTGTATAATGCCCAATAGTTTGTCAATTCTTTCTCCAATGAATTGCGCTGCTGGTTTGGGGCACTTGCTTTTCGGGTCTAGCAAGTACCTTGAAACTTGAGCACATAGATCCTGAGCCTCTTCGCATGCTTTGGCATACTTGTTGCCAGAAATCATAGCGACCAGTTCGCAAGGCGCCTCTCCATCCTGCAGGCCTTCCATGCTAATGGTCGCGTTTAGGATGTTTTTAGAAGCCATTCACGTTTTAATAGAAGATATGAAGGATAGAAAGATGTGATGAAAGTAGTTATTACGACAGAAACGGTTAGCAATGAAAAAGAGAAGAGATGTCACGAAACCCTAAATAATGAAGAATTGGAAGTGAAGAGAATGAAGATGTCAAGAAGAAATTAAGATGTAAATGACGAATATGAAGTTTGAAATGGAAGGGGTAAAAGATGTCAGAAAAATGAAGATTACCGGGAAGATGCCAAGTTTGGCGTAAATCAGGGAGATAGTCATGTCTCCAAGGCTGGTCACCCTGTAGGCGTCGACCACGTGCTCGGAACCTTAATTATTTAATAAGCAATATCCTCTACCGATTTTTGTGTGCAATAGCTTGTTTAAAAGCTGGTGAGACGCCGGTTATACGGGAATCATTCTCTGGTTGAAATACCTCCAGTAAACCCTCGAATTATTCGATTTTCAAACCAAATGTTTTTTATCGACTGGACTGTTTGAAGACTTAAGGACGTCCGCGAAGACGAAAGAGGCTAATTGTTTGGAGTTTTAGTGTGGCTATTGTCCCAAGGGTCGAGGATGTTCTTGCCGTCCCCACGACGGTCCGGTATGGCATGACAACGGCGTTCACGGGCATGCCGTACGAGTGGATCCTTGATGACCTCTTTCGTCGAGTAGACGTTCTCCTTGGACAGGTCCTGTGCGGCAAGGGACGATCTTTTGTCCGTCGTGCTTTCTAAGGCAGGACATCTTGTCCTTAACCAAGCAGGACAGCCTTTCCAGAAGGTTCATCGTGCCGAAAGTGGAAGTATTCCAAGGAGCGAACCTCGTTTCATTCAAGGCGATACATCTCCCGATCCTAACTGCTTACACATTTTCATTTCTACTACTCCACACTCGACTATGTTACCTGGCATGTCGCTGTTGAGGTGTGGAGTACGTCAGATGACCCGGTACCGTATCCGGCCACGGTCACGTTACACGGATTACCTGCGAACATGTGTCTATTTTTCAGGACCCATTCTATAGCCATCCTCTGATCCTTGAAGCCGTAGTTGTCCGGGAATATCGGCCCTTCAAAACTGGCGAAACCTTTTTCACGAAACCTCCTTGGACTTAAAGAATGCACCGAGAGGTCCGACACGGTAGCTGATAGTAACGACGACCATCCCTAACCTTTATGGGCTGCGCATCGTCTCTCGTAAACCCACTTCCGAGTATCCAGAAACTGGACTAAACTTCTGCACCTTTTAATTTTAAAAAACTTGAACATTCCAAGTCTTAAGATTAAATTTAAACAATGAAAATCCATACAAAAAAAAATCCAGGTCTCGCCTTAAAACCTTTTTATAATCATGATTACACGGTTAAATTATGATTTATTCATGGTTAACATTCAATATTCGATACAAGAACAATTTATCCTAACAGCCAAATAAAATTTAGATTAATGTTTGTGTTTCACCCTTGAAATTAGTATTTGAAAAAAAATTAGTATGTAGACCTCCCGGAATGCTGATACTTCTCAACTTGGGAAAATGATTTAAGTACATTATCCGGGAGAGTACGTTTTGATCTGAAATTTAGCATTGTGATTAGAGTTCGTACTTAATCAAGGATATTAGTTTTTTTTTTTTTTAAAGATTAGTATAAAGAAAATAATTTGAAATCGAACATACCATTCAACTCCTGTTTTCCTGATGTTTTCATTTTGGAACATTTCAGTATTTTATTAGTGGAAGTAACTTCATGTGTGTGCTGAGGTGGAGGATTAGGGTGTCTTTTTAATCAAGGATATTAGTTTTTCCGTAGAAGATTTTATATAGAGGAAATTTTTTGGAAATTAAACTCATGTTGAACTTCTGACCTGATACTTCTCATCTTGGGACAATTATGTAAGTACTTTATCCAAGATATAGATAAGATTTTTTTAAATAATTGAACTCAGTTAGAGTTCCTCCTAGTGCATTTGAATTTAGTCTACTTTAAGTGCTTTACGGTTCTTAAAATCAAGTTTGTATTAGTCTTTTTAATGGTTAAGGATAAAAAAATGAGATCAGTATATAAACATTTGGTTTTTTAGTTTTGAATTCACAACAATAATTGAATCAAGTCTCAAACTGGGCTTATTATCAGTTTGGGCTGTTTCTCTTTAGAAAGTTGAGTGATTTCCAGAAGTGCATCCTTTCGTAGATGTTCTCGTCTATATCCTTGTACTCTTCTGGGTCATACAGGGCATCCTTGACGGAAAATATCTCCTGATCCTCTTTCCAAGATTTCAATCCGGGATCGCTAAAACATTTTCTCGTCATTTTTCGTTATTCTTCAGGTTTGTTGTACTTACAGCCCTTTGATGAATCTGACTATCGTATCGGTCAACCTTGTCGAAATGTCTTTGTAACTGGAGTCGTCGCCGAGTGGACAGTCTCTGGAGTCGAAGAGGAACGGGAGCTCGTCTCCGTGCGCTACCCTGTGGCCGATACGTTCAGCAGCACCGAGCATGTACGGCAGCCTGCTTTTGTAAGCGAACATGAAAGCGTGGAGGTCGCCCTTGTGTCCAATGGCTTCCGCAGTCGCGGGAAACAGGAAAGACGAGTCGCTCACGAGCTCGACGATCCTGTCCGGTCCGCGTCTCCAGTAGAACTCGTCGATCCTCTCCAGGGCATTCTTCTTCTCAGGCCCCGCCATCCTGTCCACCATGGCGATTTCGTCCAGGAATAGTCGGAACATTGTGTTTTTCCACTCATCATCCCAAGACTGTAAAACTGATAGAAAACCATTGAAACAATAGAAGAAAGGTTAAGGTTGTGTACGTACAGACAGAAAGGAAGTCAGCTTCGTCTCTAGTCACACCGATAAGGAGTGAGAAGTTCCTTTCTGTTCCTCCCGACCACGGGTCGGTTTTGATCAAACCTCCATCCACCACGGGCCGGTATGGCAATAGCAGTCGATCCCATGTCTTAAAATATAAACTAAATTAAAAAACAACAACATTATAATCGAAGAAAGTACGGACATATAGACTGTTCTTGGCCGTCAGGATCAAATCCTTCTCGTCGGCTCGTTTCAGGCATGCCAGGTCTGTGCAGTTTAAACCTCTAAAGAGTCTTTTTGTGTTGTTCCTGACTCTGAAGTCGTCAGACAGTCCCCAGGGTGAGTATCTCGTCCCGCTCAGGGCGATACACCTTTTGATCCGTTCTGATAATAAATGTTTCCAGTTTAAAATGGCAAGACCAGCGGAAAAGTTCATTTACCGTCTAGGTGTGCGAGGTGGAGCGCTCCGACAGCCCCTGCGCTGTGACCCGCGACCGTGATTAAACCCGGGTCGCCTCCGAACATCGCGATGTTTCTCATGACCCAGTCTACTGCGGCCCTCTGGTCCTTGAGACCGTAATCGCCCGGTAATTCCGGCCCTTCCAGGCTCGCGAACCCTGCAGAAATTGCTTCAGAACTGTTCTTAAACTGAATATCAAACGCATACCGAGAGCTCCGAGACGGTAGTTGAACGTGACGACGACGACATCGTGGTCCATCAGCATCTGCGGCCCGTAGACGTCGTACCTGCTCGATCCTTTTAAAAATGCACCTCCGTGGATCCATACCATCACAGGTAACCTTCCGTCCAACTTAAAATAGCATTCCTTAACCTTACAACACACCTAACATACCAAAACAAACATACCGAAGGACTATAGACATTGAGAAATAAGCAGTCTTCATCTCCCTGCACGTCGTCGTCGATGAAATTAACCTGAATACACTCAGGCACGTCTCCTTCAATCTGGCTAACGTTTACATCCAAAACCGGGTCCTCAAAAAAGATAAGCAAATTTATAAAAATGAAAAGAAAAAATCAAAATATCCAACCTGGAATCTCAAGAGTCCCGTCGGAGGCTGGGCGTATCTTATGCCGTGGAATGCTGCGAAGACCCTCCCGCCTGTCGATTTCTTCCAAGAGCCGCGGTAACCGCCCGCTGAAGGCAGTGGTACCGCATCGGCCAACGGCAGAGTAAGAAAGAACAAGAGGAGCATTTTGGAACAGGGCGGAGGAGGACGGGCGACCTTTTTTAAACTCGGCGTATCGGCTTTAAGTGGGGGTCCGCCCCGCCACGTATATGAAACACATGAGGGTTCTTTCCCAATAACAAATACCGAGATTATAAAACAACTCTGATACGGAGAAAAATATAATGGATAGACAGAGACTCCTGGCCTTGGGAAAGGAGTCGTCTGAGGTAGACACAGAGTCCTGGTTTCAGGAGACGTATCGACCAGTATTGATTGAGTTTCCTGACCTTAGTAAAAAATTTCGTCCAAGATTCTGATTCCTGGCAAGAAAGGTTTCGTCTAATGTAGTGCCGGACTCCTGGCCCCAAGAGACACGTTTCTATAAGGTCGCCAATTCCTGGCCTCAGGAGAGGCTTCGTCCGGGATAGTCCCAGATTCCTGGCCTCAGAAAATATTCTTCCGGGATAGTCCCACATTCCTGGCCTCAATAGAAACGTCGTTCTATAAAGTCGCCGATGCCTTACCTCAGGAAAGGCTTCGCCCAGTATAGTCCCAGATTACTGGTCTCAAGAGACACGTCGTTCTTTCTATAATGTCGCCGATTCCTGACATCAGGTAAATGCTTCGTTCAGAACAACGTAATACACCTGTCCTTACGGAAAAATCTATCTATCCTGGATAGAGTAAGATAGATTAAGATCCTAGCCTCAGAAGAGAGAAGCCTCATCCAGTCCTGAGTGAAATTCCTGACCTTAAGCTCGTGTCGTCCAATATTACCTCATATTCATGACCTCAGGAAGGAGTTCCTTCGGACTCCGGACTTAGGAAAATCTTCGTCCACGATAGTCTCATCTCCCTGGCCTCATGAGACTCGTTGACGAGGATGGACACAGATTCTTGGACTCAGAAGATCTGTCGAACAGAGTGGGCTCAAATCCTTGTTTGCTTAAGAAACTAGTTTTGCTGCGTATCTTGGATAAGCAGTTCAACTATTTATCTAATTGTTATGTCATCGGTTTTCTCTACTGTAACGTAATAATGATAGATGGGCGCATTGAAAATTCGCACGGCAGCTCTGCCCCTCCTCTTTTACGGATAATCTCCGCAGGTCTTATCATAATTGTTTTCGGTAAGAGCAAGTGTGCCACCATAGCTCGGCAGGATGTGGGCCGAGGCACGCGACATCCCGATTGTGAAAACTTTTTATCGATCGAACAAAAACCTTTCGACAGATGTTTTGGCCCTTTTGGTACTAGAAGTCGTAGACTTGGTGATCCTCAAAACCTCTTCGTCTCTAACAGTCGTAACAGTCGACGGACTTCTCCCCGGGGCATACGTTTGGCGAAATTGGCCCTGAGGTTGACTATCGCCTTGCACTGGAAACCACCCTCGAAACTGGAATTGACAGAGAACCATCTCTGATTGGACGGCCGGTTAAGATCATCATATATCCAGATTTATGGACAAGTTTCTTAATAAAATGAGCCGGCAATCAAAAGCAAGAAGAACTTCAGAAATCTTCGATTGACCGATTCGGAAGAACAGCTCGATCAACTGAAGAAGCCTTTAGTCTGCGGGGTGGACTCTAGTTCCGTTATGGTTTCACTTCTGTTAAAATTCTGAATTTCTCTAAAGCATATTGACAAAATTTGGTGAAATCAAATGTTCATGATTAATGTTTAAGTCTTTGCAGTTGGCCGACTTTGGTTAAAATTGATCAAGTTGAATTCTGGACTGACAGGATCCAAAGGAGAGTTGTTTTGGTCGGTTTACCTGGGCATGTTGGTCTTCTCAAAAATGAGTTGACACAATTTGAACAAATTTCATCAAAGTATTGATGTTTAAGTCCTCGATAAGTTCGGCAGTTTTGGTCAAAGTGGGTAATCAGGAATTCTGGACTTAGAGAGGCTAAACCTGTGTTGTTAGGTGGATCTACCTTGGCATAATACATTGTCTTTCTAAAAGATTTATTAACAGAAGTTGATAAAATTTGACCAGAGAAATGAGGTTTTAGAAAAATGTACATATTGACTGAATTTGGTCAGATTTGGCCAAATTATTTGTGATTTAGTCCTAGTAAAATTGGTCAATTTTGGTCAAAGCGGACGAAGGGAATAAACCGTGAACATCTCGACAAAGGACAGATTTGGAACCGGCTAATCCGGAAATTCTCCAAAACATTGACAGAGTATGATCAAATTTGTAAAAACATTCGATTTTTAGCCCGTTAAAAGCTTGCCAACTTTGATATACGTGGGTTATGTAGAATCTGTTTCAGAGAGACAAAATCGTTGTTAGTTTGTCGGTGGATTCACCTAAATATAATTTCCTGAATTTCTCAAAAACGTAATTGGACCCAGTATTGGTGTTTCGGTACTCGATTGGTCGGCCAATATTGGTTGTAATAGTTAGTGGATGATTTGGGTGTTGATCCCGGGCAAAGTGTAAGAAGATGAAATCAAGATCACGTGATACGGTCACCAGTCTTCCAAACGTCACAATCTTCAAATCCCCGGTTTAAATTAAAAAATAGGACTTCATAAAAAAGAAGAAACTCAAATTTCAAATCTAGCAGGGATGTTAAGTTACAGCTCTGATACTTTTTAGTTCGTAATAGCGGGATTCGATCCTTCACCTTAAAAGTTCGGCATTCTGGTGCACTTTGTGGTTGTAGGTTGATCGGATATTTAATAAGGTAAATTTTCTAAGGTAAAATATATTTGAACTTATTTGTTCGTTTACATTTATGGCGTCTACAGTTCTTCTTTGGCACTGTGCGAATTCAGTACATCGTCCCAGAAGGCCATGGTGTCATCCCAGGGGTCGTCGCCAACAGGAAAGCCTTCCTTTATCCTCAGATACTTCCCTGTTGTGTCGTAGCGAGGCCATACGACTCCATATCCCGGGGGTGTTGGGTTCCTATTGAAAAATAAGTTAAGTACATTCCTTTTCTTGTGGTATACCAACCCCTTACTGTTCGCTGGCAAAATTGACCCAAAGTTTGACAGTAGCTTTCGACAGCGTGTAGTCTACATCGGTCCCTTTAAGCCCTTGCTTTGTCTTCATGTTGAAAAGTAGGAATATCTCGTCGACGTGGTTCGGCCCTTGAATTTAAGATAGGTATCACAAGTGAAGAACGTAAGAAAAAAAAATGACATACTTGTGTTGTTGAATTTAGCGATCATATCTAGCACTGTGCCCTCACACCTGTGTTCCAACTGGTACAAATACACCGGCCCTTTGTGCTCTCTTGCTGACTTGACGGCCGGGTAGATGAAAACAACGTCTGCAAAATACTAAAACCAAAATTTGGGCTGGTGGGTGGAAAGTCAAAGGCACGAGATGCAAATGTCTAACGACATGGAGGTCTGGGATGAGACTTAGAACTAACTTCCATACGATATCAGCAGACCATAGACGGCAAAGGTCCAGACTGTAAATCCGTATAAACTTTCATAACTAAAGTCCATACCAAGTACTTTGGTCGGACGACCATACCTTGGGACTATGCCAATAAAATGGATAGATTCAACTTGAACAAAAACTTTAGCTTCTAAAAAAATACTGACAGAATTTTATCAAATTTGGCCATAGTAATGATGTTTAAGTCATCGATAAGTTGGTCAATTTTGGTCAAAGTAGGTTGCCTGTGGAAACTTCAAAGGAAAGGACAGACTATACACGTGTTTGACTATGGGTGGATCCACATTGGCATAAGATCTTGATCTATTCAAATAAATTCGATCAAACTCTGCCAAATCATTGGTGTTTTAGGCCTCGATAAGTTTGCCAATATTGGTCATAATTGGTTATTTGGAATCTTGACTGACAGGTTTTAAATCTGTGTTTGTTTGTGGGTGGATCCACTTGTCATAAAGCCTTTAGTTTCTAAAAACATATTGAAATTTTTTTATCAAATTTGGTTAGAGAACTGGTATTTTAGTATTCAATATGATAGCCAGGTTGGGTCAAAGTTGGTAATCTGGAACCCTGACTCTAAGAGACTAAATCTGTGTTAGTTTTTGGGTGGTTCTGCCTGGGAATAACAATAGTTTCAAATTTGGCCAAAGTATTTTTGGTTTTTATCCTCAATGATGTCCTACATTGACCAATCAATCCAAATTTTGAAAGCCTATACAAACTTCCACCTATACTGTGGACGTCCATACGAAGGTCTACAGTCTGAGGTTGGGGACTTAGGGAGGACGTCCAGCCGTGACCTACCGACATTTGACCAAGTCGATTTAGACCAACACACAAATGACATGATTGGACTTTTCATGGACGTCCATACTTAGGCATTACGCCATCGACGCCAATACATGGTCAATTGGGAAATCCATCGAAAGTTCAAAATCATATGGTACCACATCCGAATGGCAGTGGTTGTCAAGGTACAATAGATGTGCTTACCTGCTCATAACCATCCATTAAATCCTTGGTGTCTTCCTTTGAGAAGTACCTGGACTTGATTTTCTTCAAGGCTTCCTTTGTCGACGTTCTGTCCGGATCCATGTTCAAATTCAAGGGAATAATCTCGTCCATTCTTTTCAGAAACTCCTCCCAGACGGAGGCAGGCTTCCAAGTGAGAACTAAAAAAGACAACAGTTGTAAATGGTGATATAGGAGTTGTATGTTATTACCTATGGTTTTCAGTTGCCCTTCTCCAGACGTGAAGCCAGTGAGCCAGGGCTTGACGAGTTTCGTTTGTGAGGGGTCGCGGGTTAGGAAAGCCCCCGGCAGGGCTGCCTCGACAACTGGACGATAAGGGCAGGTGTCGTCCATGTCCCAGTAGGTGAAGAGGTTGTCACCGAGGAGGACGAGCTTTTCGAAGTCGACTTTGCGAAGGCATTCGGCCACCTGGGCTCCGCGGCATCCGGCCTTTTCGGCCAGCAGGTACGCCCTGGACCTGGCGAGGCCGTGCTCGGCGAGGGACCAGACGCGGTTCACGGCACCACTCTGGGAGATAGCACCTTTGACCAGGTCTTCGGTCAACTCGGAGTAGAGTTGGTAGTGGGCGCTGGCACCGCCGGCACTCTCGCCAAACACGGTGATCTTCGACGGGTCGCCTCCGAAAGCGGCGATGTTCTCGCTAACCCACCTAATGGCCATCGACTGGTCCTTGAGGCCGAAGTTGCCCGTTACTTCGCCGTCCTCCGTGCTTAAAAATCCTACAATCACACTTAAATAAGCCCTCCACATAAATCTTACTAATTGACTTACCGAGAACGCCTAGTCGGTAGTTGATAGTCACGAGTACGACGTCCTCGTCCATAAAATAGTCTGCCATGTCTCTCGGGCCTGGGTTGCCCATCCGGAAAGCACCGCCGTGAATATGAACCAGAACGGGAAATTTACGTGCAGTCTGAAATTTGAAAAAAAAAAATGGTTCGCGAGCGCTATAAAACATATTTCTTTGATGTGAGTAATCATTGCGGCGTACGAAAAACATCAAATTCCTAATCAAATTGGAAAAATTATTTGATTAACTTGTTTAACTGTCACGACAAATTGGTCAAGTGTAATAAACCATTTGTGGAGGGGGGCGTCGGTGGCCGCAACGGTTTACGCGTTGACACGGCGCCCATCACCGTAAGGTAAAGGTCCAGGGTTCGAATCAAGCGGCCCTGCATTCGAACCCGACATACTTACAAATGGGCTTTTTTCAAAAACACCGGCACCCCGAGGGTTGATATAAATCTCTGCTGTTGTGAACCCTCGCAAAAAAAAAACACCATCCCGGTTCCCTGGGCTAGCAGGAAAACACTGTTGACATTGTCTCACCAAATTTGATCAAACTTGGCCTAGTCGGGGAAACACCACACTGGTCATAGTGGCCAATTTGTGGATTTGTGGATTGATCCACCTGGACATGAAACCTTGACTTCTCCAAAACACGTTGATGGAATTTGATCAACCTTGGCCAAATTAATGTTTTAGTCTTCGTTTAGTTAGCCTATGTTGGTTATGTGCTATCTTGGCAAATTGCCTTTAGTTTCTTAAAAACATATTGACATAATTTGATCAAATTTGAACGGAAGATTGGTGTATTGGTCTTCAAAATTGATGCCAATATTGATCAATGTGACCTATGTGGAATGTAGAAATGATAAATGATGGAGTGAGTGTGGTGTTCAATCCTTTTTAAAAAGATGGTTCCTACTCGCAGTAAGTTGTCAACAATCCGGATTTCGAGCCGTTAGCTCATCATCAGGTTGAAGGACTTCTACAACCACCTCTCTCGACATGAATTGCCAAAGTGAACCCGCTGATACCTCCGCCAACGCGACGTTCCAATTATCAGCTGATTTTTTTAATGGCGCTCAATTTGAACGTGCGAAAGGCGGAAATTATAACACAAATAAATATTATACTAGTAAATACTTAATATTATTAAATTACTATAATAAAGTGGAAGGTTTATGGGCCGACAAACAGCTGAGGTCATCGCCGGCCCTCCGCGTGTTTTAAATTTCTATAAAAATAATAACAATTAAAACAATTAGTTTAATTATTTGGATGTTGAATATTATTTATGTACATATTTAAAATAGGAGGTAGATCAAAATCCGTTGTATTATTAATGCATTTATCACCATGTTCAATTTAAATTTTTTAATTTCAAATTTCTCAAACCAATCTAATTCTTTCCCTTTGTTGAAACTGTGTAACACCTTGTATTTAGATTTGAATTGAAATTGTTTTGTTTCTTTTAGATGGTCCTTAAATTCCGAAAATTTGCTCGATTTAAGCAAGTCTTCTTTTACTCTTGTTTTTATTTCTCTACCGCTTTGTCCTATATATTTAATATCACAATCATTACAATTGAGTTGGTAAACCCCGCTTTTTGCCAAGTTGTCTACTTTGTCTCTAGGTTTTGGGAGGTTGTTTTTAACCCGTACTTCTAAAAGCTATTCTAAAACATTCTTGTTTAAAAATTTTACCAACTTTTTGCGATAATTCACCAATGTATGGCAAACAACGGAAACCTAATGATTCATTTGTGGTGGGGTGGCTGAGTCATATTGTTGATTCGTTTAAAGTTAATTGTTTTATTCTTTTAACTAGCAACCTATCAATAATATTTCTTGACACCCGTTGTTTTTTGCTAAGGTTTTAAGTTTTTTTTTTTTTTTTTACCTCATTTATTTGTATCTACAACTGTATATGTATTATATACAACTAGCAGATTGGATTTCAGGTTATGTGTTTTGGCATTATGGGCGTTATAGAGAAAGCTACCCATTGGCAGCCGCTCTGGATTAATGAAATAAGGTCTCTTATCCATATGCTTTTCAGACGTTTACGTGGTAATTGTGGGGAATGGAGTAATCGTATTTGTGTGTTGGTTTGATTTTGTAATTTACTATGAAAACATCTGTAATATGTTTTGATGGATGAAAAAACTGTTGGGATTTGAAGATCTCTGTGAAGTGTATTATTGTTTACATAAAAAGGGGCAGAAACAATTAGTCTTAAAATTTTGGATTGAAAACTTTGTAATCTTTGAATATTGGAATACTTCGCCGATCCATATACTTGGCACCCGTACATCCAAATAGGTTTGAGTAGGCATGTGTATGTCGAAAGTTTTGATTTTTTTTGATTGTCGGTTGAGAAGGTAATAAAGAATTAATTAAGGTTTTTAGTTGAGATGAAAAAAAGTTAATGGCACGAGAGGGATACGAACCCACGTCCTTCGGCTAGATACGCCGCTGCTCTACCACATGAGCTATCGTGACCTCGATCTACTCGGACATCAACTCCCCATCTCAACCCCACCTTATGAGTTTTCCCTCCTTTTGCCATTTTTCAAATGTCGTGTAATCGGTTTGGATTCTCGACGACAATTGAAATGGCGTGCCATTAACTTTTCCTTATGAATTTTGACTGTACCGTATAACATGGGGGTTTCGGGTTCATTGGTATTAGTTTTTTAACTGCATATTGGTCATCTGAGAATAAAAAATCACTATTTTTTATGGTTGTTTGAACTCGAGTTTTTAGTTTTAAGGTGGGATCTTTTTGTATTTCTTTACACTCATTATTATTTAGGAATTCTTCAACTTTAGAAACGTAATTTTGATGTTCAATGATAACTATACTATTTCCTTGATCGGTTTTTAAAATAAGGTTGTTGTTACTTTTTAACTTTTTATCAACAGACCTAATTGTACGTGGGATATTTAATTTATTTACGTTTAGGTTTACCAAATTTTGTTTAATTATTTTAGCACATTTATATTTTATATTTATATTTATGTGGAATGTAGTCCTAGAGGCACTAAACCAACGTTAGTTTGTTGGTGGATCCACACTGGCACGAAACTTTGAGTTTGTCAAAAACACATTGGCAATATTTGGTGATGCTTGAGCGAAGTACTGGATCTAGAGAAGCAGGTCAATTTTGGTCAAAGTGGGTTATCGGGAAAACTGCTTTTCAGCGTGTTAGTTTGTGAGTGGATCCACTTTGAAAAAAATACCAATTTTATCAAAACCATGACAGAATGTGTTCAAACTAGGCCAAAGTATTGGTGTTTAAGTCCTCGATAGCCTGGCAGATTTTGGCCAAAATGAGTGGTTGAATCTTGACTGGCGATTCAGAGTTAGTTCGTTGATGGAACTGTGAAATAACATTTTTCAAAAGCCCATCGACGGAATTTTATGAAACTGTCGAAATGGCCGAATTTGGTCAAAGTGGGTGGAGGGAGGGATCGTATCAACATCTAGCAAAAACTGATTAGACTTTAGACTGTCCCTTTTATCTTTTTGACCTTTCTCTCCTCCGGAATGTTTTCAAAAGAAGACCGGTCAACACTGGCTTTTTCTGTGGTTTTTATGATTTTGTACAATGTTTCATTACCTCTGGCGTGTAGACGTTGAGGTAGAGGCAGTCCTCCTGGCCGATAACTTTAGGCTCCACGCCTGGAAAATTGAAGAACCCATCAGTCTGGGGGCACAAAGGCGAAGGGTCGGTCGCATTCCTCACGCCCCAAGGTTCCACCGGCTCCGGATTCTGATTAAAATATTTTACACAAAAACACTACAAACCGTTTAAGATATTATTTTGATAATCTTACCTTAAGTCTAAGCCCGCCGGTGGGAGGCTTGGCATAGGGCACGCCAGTGAAGGCGGTGTACTTCCTGCCGTCCCTCGACCGCGTCTCGCGTCCGTTCAGCAGGCCCAACCGCGTGTCGAGGAGGTGGCCAGACGCGCAGCTGAGCATTAGCAACAGAACAAGCATGTTTTCAGGCCGGCACTGGCTCCGTTCGGTCGGCCCGGCTAGCCACTTCTCCCCTCCAAAGGTTTTATCTACTGACCTTGACGACACTGCAAATTTCTCAGCCGAAACAATCCCGTAGTGGAATATTAAATTTAATAAAAAAAATAAAACGCTATATATAAAATGTAATCAAGCAGCTCTTACTTTCCAATTTGAGAATAAATCATCGTAAACCAGAGGGACTGGCCACTTGGATATTTCATATATTTCACTAGAATACATTAACATCCGCTCCATGTAAAAATAATGCGAAAATAATACAAGCGTAATTCCATGCCTATCGATCCTTCAGGTCGTTGTACATCGGAAAAGACGGTAAAAAAATTTTCGATGTTTTTCAAAAGGCGGTGGTTCACGAGCGTAATTCGATGCCTATCGACCGTTCAGGTCGTTGTACATCGGAAAAGACGGTAAAAAATTTTTCGATTTTTTTCGGTTTTTCGCATTTGTCAAAAGGCGGTGGTTTACGAGCGTAATTCGATGCCTATCGACCCTTCAGGTCGTTGTACATCGGAAAAGACGGTAAAAAAATTTTCGATTTTTTTCGGTTTTTCGCGTTTTTCAAAAGGCGGTGGTTTACGAGCGCAATTCGATGCCTATCGACCCCTCAGGTCGTTGTACATCGGAAAAGACTGTCAAAAATTTTCTATTTTTTTCGGTTTTTCAAAAGGCGGTGGTTTACGAGCGTAATTCGATGCCTATGGACCCTTCAGGTCGTTGTACATCGGAAAAGACGGTAAAAAATTTTTCGATTTTTTTCGGTTTTTTCAAAAGGCGGTGGTTTACGAGCGCAATTCGATGAATATCGACCCTTCAGGTCGTTGTACATCGGAAAAGACGGTAAAAAATTTTTCTATTTTTTTCGGTGTTTCGCGTTTTTCAAAAGGCGGTGGTTTACGAGGGTAATTCGATTTCTATCGACCCTTCAGGTCGTTGTACATCGGAAAAGACGGTATAAAAATTTTCGATTTTTTTCGGTTTTTCGCGTTTTTCAAAAGGCGGTGGTTTACGAGCGTAATTCTGATTCCAGATCACAGGTAATGATCAACTGGGCACAAATAAATAGAGAAAATTATGTTGTGTACAAAAGTTAAAGTAATAAATGTTGTTTCAAATAGAGTTAGTATTTTATTCCTTTAGTCTCCTTAGTTTTCCAAAAGTTGTGGCTTTGCTATAAAAGTTACAATGGGGAAATAAACCTAAAATCCTACTATATAGAAAGGCTATAGGATAAACACTTATACTTATTTAAATCTTTTTTTTTAATACATGAATCAGTTGTTGTCAGCTAGATCTGCTTGGCTAAAATACCTTCCGACAAGGCACACTAAGAGGTTGGCTCTAACAAGTGCCTTGTCGTCTGGCCCACCCACGTCGGCTCTTGCCTTGATCGCATGGCATGCAAGAGATCGTAGGCAGGCGCACGTCTCTGGGAGGAGTGGCGTGGCGATGAAGGCCAGCAATGAGTAAATCCAGAGGCAGGTATGGTCGTTGAGTTGCGACCTGCCTTCGTCGAGCCAGCTTTCGAAAAGGTCCAATGCCCTGCACAGGCTCGCCTCATTCATGCCAATCAGATCCTTAACCCAAGGTACCTCTCCTGGCGTGCCGTCTCTCCCATAGATGTAGTCGAACCATTTCTCCGGTTTTGTAACATTAACCACCTGTAATAATGGTGTATTGGTATACTAATCCAATATATAATGGTGTACAGGGTGTATCAATTCTTACAATAACAATTAACTTTATCATAAAATGGTCTTACACTAACCCCAAGTTAATTTTGGGTGGGAATCGCATTTTAAGTTTAACATAACTTTCTCATCTAGGTTGAAAATAACACTAACTTTGTTATGTTAAATGAGAATATCAGATTTTTGGTGTACAATTTGATTTCAGAGCTTATTTTATGCCCCTTTTCCAGAAAGGAAAATTTTGATAGGATTCACCATTAATGAGTTATGTCCGACAAAGACGCGTGAGGGCTTTTATGCTTAGCTTATATTAATTAAAAATAAAATCAACAATAAAAAACTTTACAAAAAAGGATTTTTTATCATCGAGTCCATTTTATTTTTAAAAGGACTCAATATTGTTATGTATTGTTGCACTATTTATTAAAATTTATGGTTATGATAAATGCTCAAATACGCTCGCTGCATGTGCAGAATGCTGAATATGCTCTCCTTGTTTTAGGAATTCTTCATTTGTGGCCTTTTCTATTACTTCTGGGCAGATTTCTCTGCAAGCCACAACAATCCGTTGTTCCAATTCTTGCCGAACAATCCACACCAAACATATTATTTACTTCCAATATTCGCCAGACAAACTGAACCGAAGACACTTTTTCCTAATTGAGAGAATTACCATAACTCGGACATATTGTCTGCTTGCAAAAGAAAAAAAAAATCGAGCATCTCAGAAATGGTCGATCCTACCATTCTTTTCAGTAAAAGTGGCATAAAATTGGTTCTATAATCTGAATTGTGTAATAAAAATATGGTATTCTCATTTAAAATAACAAAGTTAGTGTCATTTTCCATCTAGATGAGAAAGTTATGTTAAATCTGTTACCACCATGATTTCTAGTCAAAATTAACTTGATGTTTGTATAAGACCATTTTTTGCTAAAGTTAATCGTTTCCAAATTAAATGGATGGACTACAAAAGTTGATTTACCCTGCATATATATATTGTATAATATTTATAATAATTTTATTTAATTATTATAATTTCTGTTTAAAATAAAATCTTTTCAATTAATTAACGTTTTGGTTGAGATAAAAAAGTCAGTGTCACAGGCAGGATTCGAACCCACGACCTTCGGCTAAATACACCATTGCTCTACCACTTGAGCTATCGTCAAAAGGTGGGGTTGAAATGGGAAGTTAGTGGATCGAAGTCATGATAGCTCGAGTGGTAGAGCAATGGTGTATTTAGCCGAAGGTCATGGGTTCGAATCCTGCTTGTGACACTGACTTTTTTATCTCAACCAAAACCTTAATTAATTGAAAAGAATTTATTTGGTCAAGCGTACCACGAAACCTAATAAAATAAAAATAAAAAATTACATTGTTCAATTCCTCAGTGCCTCGTTGACTTTTGAAGTAAGACACCTCATCCCTAACACGGCTGAACGCCTCGACCTGCTCCCTCTGCCACTCTTCCGTTGGCAAGTATGAAACCGGCACCGAATAAGTTTCTCTCTTAAAAAAAAAAAATAAATAAATAAAACAGAAACAAAGCAAAAGATTTTTAATTTAAAGCACAAGACCTACTTTGGGAACGATGAATGTCTGGTCGTCAAACTTCTTCATGTCAATCTCGGCCACTTTCACCTTAGGGCACCGCTTCGCCTCATGTCTAAACCAGCCTAACAATTAATTTGCGAATTTGACATGAGAAAAAAAAAAGAAGAGAAAACCATTTAAAATATTGAAATACGCACTTGACCCTCATGAGGTACTCATATCCATTGGTAGGCGTTTCCTCAGGGTCATAGTCATCAACGTACTTGATCTCGAAAGCCCTTTCAAGCAGCTTCTCCTCTTCACCATCACTATCCAAGTCGGAATCCATTCAAAGGTTTCTGAAAAAAAAAAATTCCAATTAACTCCCTTACATAATCAAACTTACATATGTCACATTTCAATTTATTTCAAAGTGACAATGTTGTGATTTAGATTTCTTGATTAGGCCTAGAGAGAAAAAAAAGAGGATCTAGAGAATGAGGGAGAGACAGTCCAGTCTAGAAGTGAATAAGTCAAGTCCTTGATGATAGACAAATATTTACTTCGGGCACAATCAAAAAGGGAGTCTACCCGGGAATACATCGACAAACAAATTCAATATGCGAAAATATTCCGGGATACAACGGAAATAGAAACGGTTCGTATTGTTATTGAGCAACTCGATCCTAAATATTTGAGTTTATTGAGTACCAAATTTAAAATATATTCCATAAGTCAGCTCTATAAAGAAATAAGTAAAATAGAATTAATTCTGACCAATAGAGCAGCTCTTTACATAAATTTTTTCCTTTGGGCAGCGACTCAGATTCATCCGGTCAACCTAGGAAGCACAAACAAACCAAAGGATACTGAAAATTCATGTCATTAGGCCTAGAAACTAATAAAACCTTTCCCGAACCAATTGATAGAAACCGAGAAAGAAAATACTTCCCCGGATACGACAGACTAATGTCATCATTGTCGGAATCTGAATCAAGTCGTCACGGAAAACCAAAATTTTTTATAGGGAGATCAATAACAGGAATGTCGATTTCAAATCAAACCAGAAAGAACCCAAATATTTTTAACCGCGATATAAAAATAATTTTGGTAGAAATTTTAACAATAGACAATACTATGGCGACTTTTACCAACAAGATTATGACTGAGGAAATGGGTTTAGCAGACGGGAATATGAACAAGATTTGGAGAGAAGAAATAGTCAGCGTACTCATGGAAGAGACAATTTCAATAAGAGACATCTTGATTTTGATTGCAGAAGGTACAAAAATAAAAGTCCAAATTTTCACTGCACTGATACATGCGATTACCTTCATGACCGTAGAGAAAACAAAAATATAAATAAATTTAATGAAGACTTTGGCAAAGGAACAAATAACCAAAAGGAAAGAACTCACAAAAATACAGAGACTTGCATGCATCTGCATAACGGGAGCAATGAGAACATGACCTACAATTAGCATGGAAAAGATATTGGGACTAATCCCCCTACATCACATGGTAGAAAGGACAGCACAGAAATCCATAATCACCTTTATTAGAGAGAAACCTCCAACAGGAATAAAACTGAAATGGAGAGACAGAAACAAACTGTGGAAAAACCATCCATCACTCATGGCTGCAAGAGATGACATGAACAGGAGGTTTGAATTTAACCAAAAATTCCGAATACATCTGGGCACCAAAAAGGAATGGGAAAGAAAGGGAAATAACTCCCTCAAAAATGGCACCATCCTTTGGTACACAGATGGATCCAGAACACAGGAAGGTACGGGGGCAGGAGTGTTTGGACCTGGAACCAAATACTCAGAACCCATGGGAAAGCACACCAGTATCTTCCA